TTGAGATATGAATTTTTGAACTCTTATGACTGAAACCCCGAAATATGTCATGGTAAAAACTTTGGTGTTTAGAAATTTTGCTGGAGACATCCAATCAAGCTGAAATTTTACAAGTTATTAGGTCTATATACAGCAAAATCTTCAAAGGTAATAAACGAGACAAGAGATGTATTAGAATAAGAGGATAAAGTTCTTTTGGTTTGATAACACCTCTCACTCTTACTCTTACAAGGGCAAATAAAACGTTTATCACAAATACAACAGATAGTATTTTACTTCTCACTTTCTGTGATTTTAAAAGATGATGCTGGGTCAATAAACTTTATATATTCCGATGTGAGTAAACCAAATACTTTTATTAAATCAGATTATTATAAGCTATGCACAATAATGACATTTATAAACTACAGTAGAAATTTATGCCATAAAACGTTTTTCAACAAGTCATCATAATCAATACATTATACTTCAGGCTTTGGTTTATTGGGTGTATGGGACTCCTTTGCCTCAACTATTGTTACTTTTCCAGGAAGGAATTTTTCTTTCTTGGCTCTTTCCATAATGTGCTTGAATTGAGAAACTGTGGAACACAACAATTTCTGCATGTCATAAGACAAAGAAAGTGAGTGTAAAATCTTAAGTCTTGAATTGGGATGGGATATTACCAACCTTAATTGGCAACGTAATGCGCGCAATTTTAGTTAGCTTCCAAATTTCATCATATGAAGTAAGGATATCAAACTTTCCCAATTCAAATGATGTGTAGAATCTGCCTCCTACATATACTATAAGGACAGCACAAAGGTAGAACCATGATGATGCAAAACCAGGCATAATTAATTTGTTACAAGCATTTAAAACTTGTTTTGAAAGTGCTCCTCCACTTTATATCTGAGTGTTTTTAATACCTTAAGAATGTCTGAAAATTCTTGGTGTTGTTATCTACTTTAGAGCCTGCACATAGAGAGAATTCTCAGTCATATGATATTAATATTATTGCTTTACTTCAGGATCAAGTTTTCATATATTCAATCATAATCAATGAGGGCGTTTTTTGATGAACTAATAACTAATATATTTTATTACTGAGATTCAGATTTGGACATTTACTATTATACTATATATACTATATTAAAGTTTATATCAATTAGTCTCATTAATATTACCTTATCACAAAAATAATAGTAATATAAACTAAATCAATGTGGGATGGACAGTATTATAGTGATCAAAGTGAGGCCTTTCTGTCCTGTTTTAACAATTTTTATATTAAGGAACAAATTATTTTTTATTTACAGCTTATTTTATCAAAGATTTTATAAAAACCAAATCCTATTCTATTCATTCATTATTGATTTATTTGCACCATTAACCCATAAATTTATAATCACAAAATTGCAATTCATATTATAGTATTGTTCCTTCTAAATAGCTTTACAATGTTCAGACTGCCGCTCCATCTCTTCAATTTGTGCAAATAAAACCTTAATAGATGGTAATATATTACCTGTATTTGGTGTTGGCATAGGTGGATTAGTAAGTAAAGGTTGTGGTCTAACTATTGGTTGTGGGGATTTAGAGAAAATTAAAGATGGTAAATCAAGAAGAATGTCTGCCACAAATGTCTCATCAGTAGTGTACTGTTGTTCTAAGGTGGTTGAAAATGTCATTGGATATAAAGACTTATGATGAGACAGTTGTGTTGGATAGTATGATGGAAGGTGCAACAAATGCTCTGCAGCTTGATGATCATCTAATGTCATCCCTGTATCCATATCCGCAGAAGCTGTCTCAATGCTACTTGCTGTGACTGAACAATGTTCATCTTGAGAAGCTTGTGATGAAGTTTCAACTTCCATTCTGTTTCCATCTTCATCCTCTGACATTGAGAGATATGGACCTTCATAACTATTAAACTCATCAACCTCGTCATTATTCTCAACATTGTTAGTGTTCTTGTTTGTATCAATTGTCTGTAACTCTTCACCATAACCTGAATCACGGTGCTGCCTTCTTTTACTTTTTTTAGAGCGCATAACTAAATTAGTTGTCCTTGTGATACTTCTTGAGCGAAGGTTCGTTGATTGGTTTACGATTTCATTCGTAAAATCACGAAGAATGTTGATCTCCGAACCTTTTGTTGTTACTGACCTTGGTTATTAAGAAAGATTACAATTAGCTATAATTAATTACTGTTAATATATACAAATCAACTGTACAATTAGCTTACTTTCGCATCTCAACCACTCTCTTAACAATGGCAGCATATTCGTCTGCATCCATTGTTGCAGCATCATTAGCATCTCCCAACAATCGCATTAGTTCTGCATCCCAAGCTCGAGACTTCTTCAACACCTGAATATGTGAGGAGATTTGTTTGTGTGTTCTCGTTACGCCCATTTTCGAATAAATGTAATCTGCCAGCAACTGATTCCTGCCATATGGACGGCCATCGACGTATGGTTTTCTTAGACCTATATTTGGAATAGCCTTGAGTGCCGCAATGAACACTTCTTCCAGCTCCGGCGGCCAGATCTGGTTCTTTGAGGCTGCTAACGTTCGGGCGGGAGTCTCTCTTAGTGAACTGCGACGGGCATTCTCGTTTGACATTGCTTTAGGTAATGCAGAATGTAAATGTCGTTTGAGCGGAGCTGAGTTTGGAATAAAATTCTAGCGCCGGGCGGGTTTTATTATAAATTGATTGTAGCTAAGGGGATCGGGAAGTTTGAAGTAAGGCTGGATTCAGTCGCTCAAAACGGGATGGCCAACGTCGGTTTATGACCAAAGAGTAGAGGGTGAGAGGTCACGCGGAAGAGGAGTATTTAAGGACATTCGACAGATCTCTTTGGTCGCGTATTGTCTGCTTACAAACGCGCCATTTGTTGTTAGGTTGGTCTTTGAAATACATCAGCGATAGTAAAGAAACTGTTTATTGTAAACAACCTCGCGAGAAGAATTGCTTAAATATTTATTCTCCTAATAACGTGTTCACGAATAGGATGACGCGTACAAATTGTGACACCGAAGATCATTGTGCTCGGTATACCTGATGACGCGAAGAACGCATCCCGAAATATTAAAATTTGTTTCTTAGTAGACCAAGGAACTCGCCCTCACTATTACCGGTCAAGTACTGAATTGGTTATGCTTTATTTATTCTCTCCAATAATAAATGGTTATAATTCTCTTTAATGTGCTAGAAAACCGATTACAATGCAATAATCTATGGCTTCAATATACATTGTTCTCTATGAACTCTGCTTATTCCTTTTACAGTTGGGAACATGCATCGATCATTATGTCAATCTATAGTCTATTATATTTCGTTCATATACATTGTATTAAAATAAAATCTGCATAGGATATTAAAAATCTAAAGAATTTATACAAGAATGAAAATCAGTACTCGGTTACACACAGGTTGTAACCATATCTTTATTTCAGATCAGTATGCCAAACGTCTCCTGAACGTATGTGCAAGATCAAGAAAGTTCATGCAGAGATGACTTTATTTCAACGGAAGAAATTCTCGCAGCAAGCGAGCAGGGGTTCACACCGTCGAATTAATTATGAAGTGATTGTGTGCTGTTGGCCTTTGCCGGTTTATAATTTACATTGATATAATCCTTACGACTATGTAATCTTTTTCGCTATACACATAATTATCATGTAGGGGCGAATGTAGAAAAACTGTTTGGAGCCCCATCATATGGATTCCATTCAATAGCCTTTCCTTCTTCATCAGCATATTCCCAGAACTCTTCCGACTTTACATCAGTAGCAATCACCGTACATTTGTAATGTAACGGGTCGTATGCACATGCTATCGGGTTATCACACAGACCGAGTTCCTTGCAGAGAATTGGATGAGATGAATATTGACTCAGCATCATATCGGCAGCTTGAGCTATCTTGTTGACATTGTCATCCAGTATAGACCACCAGGAAGACTTGTCCGTTATTGATTTGTCTGGTGTTAGTTCGCCAATCTGAAGCATCTTGGCCGCTAAGAATACTGCTGCACTAGCAATAGTCTTCGCTTTAACAAACAGACATAAAGGTCCGTAAAGACTGTTATCAATAAGAGCCCACGCGCGTGTTTTAAGAATGTCCTTTGGTTCTTGATTTTTCAAATAATCAATAGCATATGCCAATGTCTGATATCGAAATAATTCGGATGTTGGATCACAATCAGCAAAATACCGTTTATAATTTGCATATTCCGGTCCATCGGGTTGATTTGAAGCACCCTTCGATGCATCGTCAGCATTATTAAGTTCCGGTGGAGTCGCCTCGCCTTCTTCGTGACCAGGCTTAATACTATCACAATGTATTCCAGTTGATTGAGTCTTGCATGTATTTTTGCTATTCCTTGTATCACCCCCATTTTTTTCAGTCGCAGTTTCCTTGCCAGCCTTTACCAAAGCATCACTATTCTGTTGTATTATGTCCTCTTGTCGAACACTGATTGGTGTTACTTCTCCATCCTCTGTCTTAATTAACTCAATGTCCTTTATTGATTCATTCGACTTTACAGAATCGGCATCCCCATTAGACGTATTCAGTCCAATATTCCTACACCCAACACCATTCTCATGTTTACTTGCATCATGACTCTTATCATCGATACTCTTATCGCTCCTACCCGGCCCGTTTTGCACAAGACTATGTGAGGCAAGCCATTTCTCAACCATCTCCTTCTGAGCTGAATCCTTCGCATAGAAATCATCAATGTGTTCAATTTTGACCATATCGTTCGTTATCTTTAGCGAATCCACCAATGCTAGCACAAATAAGTATGGATGCTCCACGCTCAAATCAAAGTTCAACGTCGCCATTACGACTGGTTCTCTCTTTCTTATTGTACTATTCCACTTCTCACACTCCTTCGGATCATCCCATGTATCTTTCTTGTGTGCTCTTCGCGCGCAGATTGTCGCTACATGTGCTAGTCGACGAGTACTTTCTTCCGTCTTGCACGATAGAAAAAGGCACGTTCCTGCTATATCATAATGATGAAAATGTGCTAATGACTCACGCATGTAGAATCTATGAAAATAGATACAGGCTGTTGCCAACACTATCTTATGCAATTTTAAATCGTGCGCACAGTCATGTATGAACTTAATGCCTTTCGATCGACGGATCAACTCTTCGGTGGAATTAATACCATCTCGACGAGACGGAGTTTGCCGGAAGTGAGTTGTGCTGAAAAGCCACTGCACATCATATGCCTCTTGAAAATTTGTCTTATTGGCTTTCGTTTCCGCAGGATCGCTCGGTGAACCATCGTCCGATCCAAATGCTTTAAATTCGGATTCACTCTTTTCTTTAGGCGTTAATTCGTCTTTAATCTCGTCTTCTATCTCCAGCCCTTGATCCTCCACCACCAAAAGTTCTTCTTCCTTCGTTTCTCGACGCTTGTTTGGTCGGACATCATTTCCCTCACTCTTTCTTTTTTTGCCTGTTTTGACAGACGTACATTCTGATGACAAACTGTCTGGACTTGCAAAAGGAGGTGACCCACCACCAGAGCTATGTGGAGATGTCATTTCGATCGCAAAAGTCGCTGAAAAAATTTCAGTTTTTCTTTCCAAGCTGTCCCCAGAGAAGAGGTATATTCACGTGAACCGCAGATGATCGACCAATAAGACGAATGCAGATAATTTTTTGCGGGTTTCTCGAATTCTTTTGCAATACAAGCGTTGAATATGCAAGCATTGCACAGATCGCGAGCGCTTATTTGCTTCTTAAAGAACAAGCCTGCTTTACGAAGATTCCGTGTCACCAATAGTTTGAATATACATTCCCGCTCACCTTTATTACAACAGACTGCACTGTGGACGACCGTTCCAGTACGGTATGCAACGTCACTTCCAGACCAACCACAGTTTGATTTGTCCAATCCACTATTAGTCAAGATTGCAAGCAATCCAGAATTAGTGTCTACTTTGCAAGAGTTTGCTGAATTATTACAGACAAAGGGAATCGACGTTACAAGTGGGGAACCTCCACCTATTACAGAAGCAATGAAACTTTTTTCTGATCCACAGGTCAGAGAAGTTTCTGGCAGAATTGCACGCGGTTTACAAGCTGTTGGAGTCCCATTAGATCCACAAGCGTTGATGGCAATGATGCCAAAACATACGACGAACGTTCACGCAACTGAAAAACTGGAAAGCACATCTTTCCAGCAATTGGAAGAGAAAGTTTCAGAAATAGATCATGATATTTTGGGGAGTGAACAGAAAATTTTAGAGAAAGAACAGGATATTTTAAAGAAAGAGCAGAAGATTTTAGAGAAAGAACAGAAGGCTTTAGAGGAAGAGCAGAATGTTTTAGAGAAAGAACAGGATATTTTGGGGAAAGAGCAGAAAGTTTCAGGAGTAGAGCAGAAAGTTTCAGGAGTAGAACAGAAAGTTTCAGAGGTAGAACAGATGGGGACCATTGGGAAATTTACGACTAAGATCAAATCCTTCTTCAACTCATTATTTTGATTCATTTCACTATCATACATGTTTCATAAATCAAGGACTTTCTCAATCTATCATCTATTCAATTCTCTAACATATCTAATATCTGGGTTTATTTTATTCACCCTACATCAGACTAACCTGCTTGTTTAATTTTTGATAGCTTCTAAGTGCACATCAATTACCCATCATAATGTTGTATAAAAGTTCCTTGTCCATACAATGGCTCTATTTTTTATCAACTGATTTGTTCAACATGATATATGAATGTTTATCAAGCTTATTACTATATTTGCTATGAATATGAATACCACATGTGTCTTATTACAAATGCCAGCCTACATGGCTATTCCTCCACATATCAATACAGAACTGACTTGTTATCCTATTACAAATATAATCTAGAGAACTTGCACAAGCATTAGTGATGCAGTGATTGCAGCCGCATGTGAGAAATTGTTATTTGCATTATTTGAGATTAAAATTGTATCAGGTAATGTAAAATGCTCTTACTCTCGTGGTAAGATTGCGAATATTACTCGGGTGACATCCTACCCATCGATTGGATGATCATGGATCAGTAGAATGTAAACAACGTGCCATCACCAACGAAGTATTATTATTATGTAACGTGGTTATATATATACAGCACTGTTCAAAAGTAGTTCGTGGCAGGAACGAGTAAATGCTTTGAAATTTCCTTGCGTATAGTGTAACACAAATACTGGATGTTTGGAGAAGACATTTGAATTTAGGATTTGTGAAATACTGTACGCAAGGAAATTTATAGCTTGATGGATACTCAAACCCAAAACCATTAATGAATATCCCTATACTTGATTACGCTAGTGAACTCTATTCATACATTATTGTTATTGACGCCTTATTTTTTTTCTTTAATGACCTATTCTTGAACTGCTTTTCTCTGGTCATTTTTCATAAATCGGTTTCTCGTCGATAAAAGTTACCCAGTGTAGCGAATTTGAGTGTGCACTTTGTTAAATGAAAAGTTTGAGTTTAGTCAGATCTCCTGTCGAATAAAGTTTCCCACAAGTTTTTAATCTTTAGCGAATAGCGTTTCTCACTGTACAATTCACCGAGTTTTAGATTCCCTAGTTATTTCAAACTTTTGATTTATATCGCAGATTAAAATAAGTTTTATAATGAAACAAAGGGCCGATGACGAGTCCAATCAACGGCTGCTTGAAGTTCCAACGTGTACTCAGATGCTCGCCGTCGTTTTTCCTACGGGGGACGCGTGCGCATGTAGTTGTCGTTTTAATATTGTGGTCGGACGTCACATTATAGGCGCTTTTAAGTCATGTGAAATGTTCGGTGACCGTTATTTTGGTACATTCTTTCCCTTCGGCAAGCGGTCCAAGGTGGCTTGATTATAAAGATAATGAGGCTTTCATTCATTCCCTCGTGGTTCTTGGCTAGAACTTTGACGACCCTTATACCGTCTTGATAAATTAAGGAGCAACACTGTAATCTTTCCGTCCATAATAATAGTGAAATCATTTTTTACATGATTGTTTTATACGAAAAGCTAAATTTATTTAAAATTAGGAGAAATGGACAAAAGGTATATCAAAAAAGTTATACGGCAATTAATATTAGTAGTCAAATAACGAATTACGTGACTTTTGAGACGCGATGTATTTAAAAATTCGTATCTCCACATATATCCAAGATATTCTAGCAAATTTTTTTCTAAAAAATGTAGCAATGGTAATGCTTTGAAATGAGTGAAAGTTATTTTATCATGTCCGACAATTTAACAAAAAAATGTCCGTAACGTATAAAATCATCAATTTATTACCCAAAATATGTGCCTTAGTAAAAAATTTGTCGTCATATAAATGTACACAAATTTGATAGATTAATTAGAACTAATGCTGGTTTATTTGGTCCAAATTTCAGAATATTTGCATCATTACTTGTTGAGTAATTTAAATTTAATCTCTTTTTTATCGATTGTATACATTTGGTAGGTCAGTTAGTGTATATGGAAAAAGTACTCATGTACATCTTGCACAGTACATGCCATATTCTCTTTCCGGCGAACGTCTCCCTGATTGTTGTTCAACCTTCTGCTACGCGTCATCTTCCGTCCATCCGTTATCGTTCAATCTCTACTGCGCTTCCATATCGCATCAATCCACCATCCCTCAAACGTCTCGCCAGACATCCACTGTATTACCTCCTCACACCATCCCATATCGATAGATTCTCAAACCTCCAATCAAGCATCCATCAGTTCCAGCCGTGCGAAATTAGGTGTTTCAAGGAGAGGGAAGGAGATAATTGTCAGTGAGGGTTCGTGACCATGTTCATGTTGGTTTATTGTGAGTTAACGGAGGGCATAGAACATGTATTTTAGCGAATCATGTGGTTTTTATTCAGCAAATTTCAGTATTCAAAAAAAAGTTTCTATTGACATCTTACAGTATTAGTGTTCCTCGCTGCTTAATTAATCATGCCAGAAGGGCTTGTTTTACATTTTGTGTTGTGACATGAACATTTCTAATTTATTTGGTGCCGATTTTTCTTACTATAATGACAGTATAATAGCAACCATTTACAAGTCATCAGATGCATTAGCATTTCATTCTATCATTATCGCATTCCGATTGATAAAACCATTCATCTAACTGTTTGTAATGTTGACTGTCTTGTACCCCTGATATATCAAATTATAGTATACAATTTGCGCAGGATGATCTTCAGCAATGGATTGTAACTGCATCGGAACTATATACTGACTTCTAACATTGGTTACATGCAAGTCATTAAATGCTGCAAAGTTATGTAATTTTAAGTCACAGTCATCATTCTTGAGCCATTGCTCGCCGTCTCAGCGCTCGTTCTTTAGCGGCAGCTATAGCTTCTATTCTTCTATTCTTCTCTTCATTTATATCATCAATAGACTTAACTGTCATCTTTACTTTGTCTTTATCTTGACTACTGACAGGATCATTTTCAGACATATCGTCGTTCTGACCACTCTCCTTATTGGCCACTTCACTGCCATCCAATCTCGTTTTGGGCAGTTGTTTAAACAAACTCATTTTCTCCTCAACCCAATTATATCTAATCTTACTTACTGTCTTCATTAATGCCTTATTAGTATATACAATGGCATGATAGATAAGCCAATCCAGGCTCTCAATTTTGACCACCTTATTTTCAGGATACAATGCAGACGTTGGTGAGATATGTAATGCTAATAGGGACGAGTTAGAATCAACAGACTCTGATGCAGCTCCAGATGCGTAGTGGTAAAATACCGGTCTATGGGGATGCCGCTTGCTTAGGTGAATATAATAAGCCGTCGCAAGTGACTGCAATATAGGTTCTGGATCATACTTTGTTTCTCTATAATACGTCTTCCGCTTCTTCCTAGTTCGCTCTTCATCGTTGCTATTTTCATTACGTCGACAACTAATTATCGGTAATCCATTCTTTTCCATTATATCCTGAATTTGTTCACGAACGTTCTTTGCTATTGACAGTGCGCGGTGATTCAGGTACCTTTCTCTGCACCAATCAATATCATGCCCACAATCGCGATACGCTTCAAAGATATTCAGCAGGGTCATGTGATCACCAGATGAATGATAGAATTGTTTACGTGCTTCTTCTGCAATCATCTGCTTCTCCTCGTTCTTAGGCGAATGAAACACTTCCTCGGCAGATAACATAGAAACAATGATCACTATTTCTCTACTGCAATTAAATTCCTTGGCACTGGAAATCAATACTCTGGACAGAAACGGGTTCAGAGGAAATATCGTCATCAGGTCACCCAAACTTGTTAATCTACCGCTCGCATCGATAGCTTCCAATAAGAATAATTGCCTCAATGCGTTGGTTACAAGCAGAGGATCGGGTGGGTCAATGAATTCAAAGTTGATAATATCCTGAATACCCATTTTTTTGAGACTTAATACAGTACCCAGAAGACTACTGCGTTGAATTTCGGGGATAGTCTCTTCGTCCATTTGCTCGTATGATTCTCGACAGTAAAGTCGATATGCTTTTCCGGGAGCAGTGCGGCCTGCGCGACCTGCTCTCTGGGTCGCTGCTGCTTGTGAAATGGGAACCACCAGAAGAGCATCCATTCCGGTATTAGGATCATATGACTTCTGCTTGACGAAACCAGAGTCTATTACATACCTACGAAAAGGGAAAAAAAAAACCATTAGTATAAGGTTAAATGCAAATTAAAAAATTTTTTTATTTTTAATCGCATGAAAACGTACTTAATCCCCGGTATCGTAACGGAAGTCTACAGAGAACAAGGATACGATTAGAGTGACATTGTCTAAGACATTCACATATTAATAATAATGTATAAAGTATATCTCTTACCTGAGCAATGTTTGTGGCAAAAACAAACTTTCTCGTGCCTTCAGGTGGTTCGTCAAATATAGCTCTCTGTTCCATCGTCTCCAAACTAGCGTATAAAGGATACACTACCATCGCTTTGACATGTTTCCCGTACCTAATATCACTCCTTCGCAAATGTCTGGCTTCCCGTTCTAAATCCCTACACGCCCTCTCAATATCGTTCTGCCCCGTCAAAAACACAAGCACGTCTCCTGGTGGCTCTTCTTGATGAATAAATAAGGCAGTGTCTACTGCACGTTCTATATAAGTAGACTTCAAACTGGAAATCTTGGCATCTCGATGATGATTAATCTCTACATGATACATTCGACCGGGGATGTCCATCGTCGGACATTTGTTGAAGAAGTCGGAGAATTTTTCGACGTTTAGGGTGGCTGACATGACCAAAATTTTTAATTCTGGACGCATTCGATAGGTTTGCTTAAGAAGACCAAACAAGACATCTGTTTCCACCGTCCTTTCGTGAGCTTTAATAAAAAGATGTAAGTGTTAAGCTGATTGGAAAAGAAAGCGATTACACAAACAGATAAATGCCATTATTCGTGTCGACTCATACCTTCATCGACGATAATAACATCATAATTCGACAGTTTGGGGTCTGTTGTAGCTTCTCGCAGAAGAACGCCGTCGGTCATATATCGAAGACGAGTCTTTGTAGAGGTGCAGTCGTCAAAACGGATAGAATACCCTATTTCATTTCCTAAACGAGTTCCATGTTCTTCGGAGACTCGCTTTGCGACAGTCATTGCTGCAATTCGTCTGTTATAACGTTAGTCTAATTTCCTTTGCTTTAATCGAACAGTCATGGTTGATTACTAACCTTGGTTGAGTTACGCCTATTAAGCGACATTCCGGAAAGTTTTCTAGAATATATTGAGGAATTTGTGTAGTCTTGCCCGATCCTTGAAGACGTTTGGATTGTTAGATCGATACGGATCATACTAAAGTATGATAGTTTTAGGAAGGCATACCTGTTTCGCCAGTGATCACGAGCAGGTTTTTTTTTTTGATTGCGTCTATTATTTGTTGTCTATATGGAAATATCTAAAAAATGACGTTATTACCAATAATCAAGTGCTTGAAAGGAACGTTGTTAATTTACCGGAAGTAATTCACGTTGCTTTTGTATTTTTGGATCAACCATCTTTTCTACACAACACACCGTCAGTCGGAGGGAGTTAGAGTATGGTACGGATCATCTACAACTCGAAATAAACTACCTAGCTTTCAAAACTCTAGGCTTTATATTAGAGAGTATAGAAAAAATTAATTCGTATGAATGATGGAACAGGATAAAAATCGCACACCGCATCATAATTTCAGAGGTTTAAATTTTGAATTCAGAGCATTTTATTGGGGATGTGTCATGTGATTAGATGATCTGCAGAACAAAAATTCTTACCTATTATACACAGTGACTCTCTTTATAGTGTATCAAAAAAATCTACTAGTAAAAAATTCTCAAAAATACACTATATCGAGAGTTATTGAAAATTTATTAGTAAATACACTATATCGGATAGCATTCATTATAGATGGTTTTGAACCTTTATCCACTATATCGCGATTTTAATTAGTCTCCACTATAAAGGAGGTACACTATAAAGAGAGCCACTGTGTAATTACTTTTGATAGTTCGGTTACAATTGCTAACTTATGTGGTGCGATATTGTATGATGAAGCATAAGATCTATTATGTTCTGCTTCTAGCGGTATACTATTTGCATAAAGCTTTCATGGGAATAAACTCAAAGCCTGTGGGCATGCTAAACGTCGATTAGTAGAGGTAGTCAAAGACCTCGCTCGAAAAGTTAAATCTCAAGGTCAATATACGGACGTGTATTGATCCGACAATAAATTAATATGTGAAAGACGCTTTTCTATTCCATTAACATTACATATTTATTTACATACTAATGCAATATGTATATATTTACATTGATAAAATGCCAAAATGTGCTATACACTGCTTGGATATCAGACACTCATGCTGGAGATAATCATCTTACTGACATATTAATAGCTCACATTTAAAACAATGTGTGGAAAGGCAGTTCATCAATCTTTTTTTGTTGTTGCATTCCTTGTTCTATTGTAGACCCATTGAGTAGGAAAATTACCATGTGTTAGTTCACATGTGATCTCAGAGTTGTTTTCACATGCAACTATCTAATCTCATTTTCTATGGTAAATAGCATCTTTCTTTTGTGTTAACAGATTATAATTACATTTCTGGGATAATACATAGCTTATTATTATTACTATTATTATTATTATTATTATTATTATTATTTACCATGGGTCGTAACGACGTAAATTGATGACGCATTCCTCCCAGATTTCTGCGAGGTGTTAAATTTTGAACAGAACAATCGCGGGCCTACCCTACCGTAAGTGCAGCAATATAATAATAATAGCAACGATAAATGTGAACACGTGAACAGCAGACCCAGTATATTACCAAGTGAGGCTTTTCGTTATGACTGCTGTAAGTTTAAGCCATCCTACAAAACGAAAAGGCGTAATGAATGTCATATACTCGTGGTCTTTATTAGGCGCTGTCATATACCAGTGACTATTATTATACTACAATAGGAACTGTATTGTTGGGTGAAAATGGTATTTATTTTTCATTGTTGAATTTAAAGATAATTCAATCCTAATGATCATTATGGATATCAATGATGTCAGGTACGCTCCTCACACCATTAATCATACTTCTTAAATTGAGTATCTGTCTGCTTCGCTAAGTATTATTGCGGGCAGGTTGAACTCGTCTTCAAGTCAAGATACACAACAGTGAACAACTATGAAATGCCCCTCTCAAAACTCAAACTCTTCTCCCCTCTCAAAACCCTTAAAAAATGGCTTCAGAAACAATGCCTGCTTCGCTAAGTATTATTGCGGGCAGGTTGAACTCGTCTTCAAGTCAAGATACACAACGGTGAACAACTATGAAATGTCCCTCTCAAAACTCAAATCTCTTATCCCCTCTCAAAACTCTTAACAAATTGCTTCAGAAATGCGCGCCGCTTTTTCTCAACGGCAATCACCAAAAACCAAGCGGTGGCAACCGTGTAATGTGCTGAGTCTCTTTCTAGTATTACATTTCAGAATCGCTCACTCTCTGGAACGGATGCGAGGGGGTTTCTATCAGTGTTGGGGGCGTTCGGCCTGGCCGCCAACCATATGATGGAAGAAAAAATCAAGCGTGTGACGGGGTCGCAATTCTTTTCGGTTTTCGAGACATAATGGATAGTAAACTCTATATTGAAATAGTAGAAAAACATCTCCCGAATGTTGGAGTGGAGGTTTTAACAGGACAATGATCTTAAACACACCGGTCGCATGGCTAAGAATTTCTTTAAAGAAAATGATCCAGAAATCATGGACTGGCCTTCTAACAGTCCTGACCTTAACCCTCTGGGCGATCGTCAAAAGAGAGACAGAAAGGCGCATGCCTAAGATCCTAATGAATTGGAGAGGATTATGGCGGAAGAATGGAATGTCATCCCAGTCAGCGTTCTAATTAATTCAGTAGTTCCATGAATCGATGATGTTGTGAAGAGGTTATTGAGAAAAATGGCGAATGAATATCTTATTCAATAAAATCTAGCTTTTATTTGATATACGATACATTCTTATGTGTGCAATATTAACAGAGCAACACATTGGTTTCAAGTTTTCCAATTTTTTTCTTCATACTGTATGTTATGGGTATTTATTTGTGTTGTGTGTTCACTTTGTCTGGTTTTGTTGAAGCATATCCATATTATCTGTGTTCTCAAGTAATAAAGATTCAACTATATGTCGGGATGAATATAAATTTAAAGATACATTCTTCAAAGTCACCGGATAAATAAAGTTGTTCCCTAAATGTACACTTTCTGATGCAGTTATCAAAATGATCACACTTGATTGACAAACACATTAATATTAAAATATGTTACCATTATTGTAAACTAATTTTCAATTATTAGACACCGTATCTATGGATGCATCTCTATGCTGTCAATGTTCAGTATTATTAGACAACTTAACGGTAATTACGCTCAACGCCCATCTAACATAAATTGTCCCTCTCTTCAGTAGAAATAAAAATCCCCTCTGGTTATTGAAATGCAACATCAAACTTTCGAGCGACAACTTTACCACCACCACTCGCAAATCCAGTACCTACAATCGAAATGCGTAAATGTAATGAACATGCAACAGGGATTCTAATCCACAAGTAAAGGCAATAATATACTTACCTTCACCCGACATATCAATTACATCTTTATCTTTGCATTTTACATCACACACAAAACATTTTTTCGATTTTTTTACAAATTTATCAACACACGAACTGCATATTACGTGTCCACATGGTTTCGTAACTGCAGAAGAAATAAATGCATCGGTGAATAGTTCAACCTCACTGTATTGCTAACAAGAATTAGAATATACCCACGTGATATTTTTATCGTGTTTGTCAAGGTTCGACGGCATGATGGACAGACAAATGACTTTGAATTTGCATCTTCAACTTCGGTCCACTTGGTCGCAATGAGTGCCTTGATACTGTTTTAATTTAAATAACAGCAGTCAGTCACAAGCTTACATAAAGAATATTCATTGCAATGACAAGCTTAACATTAAAAAACCTTATAGGATGTTCGGGATCACTAGCGGTACAAACAGTTCGCAATTTAATCGTCTGAACCTCGTCTGGATCAGCAGATGGAGTAAGTGAAGGCTAAAATAAAGAAATCAAAGAATTAATAATCAACAAATTACAAACATCAGCGATGATATTCCCATAGAAACATCACTCACCAACCAGAAGTTGGGCAATTTCGGCTTGGCAGCTTCTGCCTAGTAACAGGTAAAGCATTAGTTGACGCATTTGAAATAGTATTCTGTACAAATGTCACCCACCTTCTGTTCTTCCAGCCTCTTCAGTGCCTCCTCATGTTCCCGTTGAGCAATCGCTCGAAGTTCGTCCCCGTCAAGATGAAAATTTTGTTTTTTGTTGGTTCCTAAAAACATATTACATACGTAATAGACATATTTATCATATAACTCTCGCTTGTACTTATATTAGATCGCAGCTAGCGTCTGGATACCTACCTTCAATTGCCTCTCCTACTTCGTCAATATTTCTTTTAGTCCCAGTCCTAGTCTGAGTATTAGGAACACTAGATGCTGCATTTTTGTCTATATTACTCAACTCCGGCGTCTTTTCTTTGGTTCCATTGCGACTCTTTTTGTTTGAAGATAATGGCGCAATTCTCACTTGCTGTCGTTCGAAATCCAAAATTACAGCTTCCTTAGCTTCATCCTCTTTCTTCTTTGCCTTTTCCTCTTCTTCCTTCTGTCGAATCTCTAATAATGTCTGTTGTCTTTTTATCTCCTTTTTTTGTGCAAGCAGGTTCTCGTATATACATTCCTTACAGTACAAGTGTCCTTGTGAACAGCACACTGGATCTCGTGCACGCTGTAGACATAAAAAGCAAGCGTCAAAATTGCGCATTGAATCGCGGCCCAGACGTTGCTATTCGAGCGTAGCGAAAACTAGTTAGTAAGGATCTATCAAGAGTCGATTAAAAAAATAAGTGAATCAACAGCAGTACCTTCTTGGTGCCATAATCGAGAGCCTGGCTCTCTGCATAGGTAAAGAACGAAAGGGCTGTATTATTCTTGCTATGACGAGGCATTTGAGTTGTTATAGATCCAAGTCGAGAGGAAAAACTATTTGTTGAAGATTTCCCTGATTGTCAAGAATGTTACACAAGAAGGAAAATCCATATCTGCACACTTTTACTTTCAACTAAATTTTACTTTAAACCCATGTCTTCAGGACCAAGCTCTACACCTTCAGGCATAGTCACTACTGAAGCGAACGAACGCCTCATTCCCTCTAGTCGCCGAGCCGACGGCTCAGTACGCAGAGAACGTCGAGTCCGCGCCGGTTACGTACCACAAGAAGACGTCCAGGTATACCAGAACCTCCACGTTCGAAGACGTCAAGAACAAGCCGCCCCTCCGCAAAGAAAAGAGATCCCAAGAACAGCAGCACAGAAAAAGAATGAGAAGAGGAGGCAAAAGAAGAAAGAGGCAAGAGAGAATGAAAGAACAGGGGATGATCGGATAGAGGAGAATCTGGGCGAAATCACGGAGAATCTAGAGGCTTTGAATTTAGTTGAGGGCGATGATGGACAACCGAGTGGCGAGACTTTAACAAACAAGCCACAAACAGAAATTGAAACAGCGAGAAAGATCAGGACATTAGAAAAGAAGCTTAAACAGGCTGATAAACTTAAAGAAAAGGCTGATCTTGGTGAAACTTTGTTGCCTGAACAGCAGGAAAAAGTTAACAGGTCGGATTCATGGAGAGAGGAACTTGATGCGTTGAAGAAATTAAACAATAATTAGCATTAGATTGTAAAGGGAGGAATTAGGATTGTACAGGTTAATGGGAATACATGTATAAATATAAATATATATATGTGATGTTTAGACGCCTAATTAATAAAAGTTGTAGTATAAGCATATTTAATCACGTGACATAACGCTGATCCTTTAATGTTGAACCGCTTCTTAATGGTTCGAAATTTCTCGTTTATATCTGGCCAAATGGCCTCAACTGATATGTTGGAAGATGATACATTGACGGAGGATTCGTCAAACATAACTTTTGATAGAGATAGGCATGTTATGTATTTTAAAAGATGTATGAATTATCTTCCTGAGCCATACACAAGTAACGATACAAATAGGTAAACAGCTAATTATCTTTAAGATATGGAATGCACCGGTCGTTCCAATTAAACCAAGGAGATTATAATATTATTACCCAGAATGACACTTGCCTTCTTCGGTCTTGGCGGAATAGACCTCTTAAACAAGATAGAGACAATCTACTCACCAGTGCAAAGAGAGCAATGGATTGACTGGATATATGCGCAACAGATTCTTCCAGATAAGGACAATCCAGGTAAGTTCTCGAACACTTGGTTGAACTCGAATGTCTCCCCGACTAAAATTTAATTTTGGGTGGTTAGAATTAAATCGACAGATTTGTGGATTTCGCGGTTCACCGTTCTCAGGATTACCTTACAATCCGCAAGGAGTAAGTCTTCTTCTTGCTAGAGAAAAACTTGCAGAACAGCAGTTGGATTTATGTGTTTACTTTTCCCCATAACTTTATCGTATTCAAGTGTCATGAATCGAGATTCCCATTTGATGCAGCTCATATAGCAATGACATATACGGCTTTATGCACTCTTCTCATTCTCGGAGATGATTTTTCTCGAATAGATCGGGATGCCATCGTAAATGGGCTAACTTATCTGCAAAAGGACGATGGAAGGTATGCCAGTCGCTCATTTCTTACGGTACGGAACTATGAACTTAATTTCGATTATGTATAGCTTTACTCAGACGTATAATGGGATGGAATCGGATATGAGGTTCTTGTATTGTGCTTGTGCTATATCCTACATGTTGAAAGATTTCAGCGGTATCGATATTGGAAAGTGCATAGAGTACATAAGGCGGAGCCAGGTAACCTTTAGCAAAAGCCATACTCCATTCACTTACAAACTATTTAATAACACAAATGTATATCTCTAAAGGGATATGACTATGGTATAGCACAAAAGCCAGGACTAGAGTCTCATGGTGAGCATAGTCAACTATATTACGTATAATTACCAAACGTTACTTAAGACTGATCGTCTAAGGTTAAGTTGATCTCAGGAGGCTCTACGTATTGCGCAATAAGTGCGTTGAGTCTGTTAAATAAGATAGATGAAGGACTCATATCAAAGGACAGGACTATATTTTGGCTATTGTCGCGTCAAGTGTCTGGATTTCAAGGGCGTGCAAACAAACCAGAAGACACATGTTACTCCTTCTGGATTGGTGCTTCATTGAAGGTACTAGGGGAGGAAAGTTGTCATTGCGAGAGTATGCACATACATGCACATGCACACGCACACGAAAAAACGTAACATTGCAAATGTAAATGGATATCTTTCAATCTTAATCAACACTTTGCATACTATTGCAGAGCTAAAATTCTTGCCCTCCATGTCGGACTCGCCTAGGAGTATAATTGCTCGAAGAAAATCTATTGATTTTAAAATAGTAAAGAGAATCGATGCACAGGAAACATATGGAACAGAAGGTTGCTAGTCACTGTTAAAGGGTCGATAGTTTCCCCATGTGCATGTGTGTGTATTATCCAATGACAAGACACATGTGATATTACAAAGTGACTGAAACTAATAGTTGTGTTTCCATTTAAAGATTTTGGGTGTATTTGATCTTATTGATAAAGAGGCCAATCGTCTCTTTCTCTCCACTACCGAGTGTCATCACGGTGGTTTCTCAAAATGGCCCGATCTGGTACCTGGTTCGTATGCTAACCGTTTGTGTTTAAAGAGCGTTCATCCAAAGCATTCCAATGTACTTACTAACGGCAATCTTCACCTCCAGACATAATGCACGCATACATGGGAATTGCAGGCTTATCGTTAATGGATGAGCCAGGAATGTCTACGCTAGATTGTGCGCTGAATATTTCGGGGAAAGCTCGACAGAATTTGGAAAATAGCGTATTCTGGCAGGGAGATTAGAAGAGATATCTTGTACAGTATGATTGGAATATGAAAGATTGTTTATTCGTTTTCTGTAATTGTACAACAAAAGTGGTATGCGCAAGTTGGAAAATTCGAAATCAAATGCAGTGAAACATGCACGTTAATGTTTCTTATATTTACATCTAATTACCCACAATACTTGCTCACTTTTGGTAAGGGTCATTAATCCTTCAAATTATCATAATCCGTAAGCCAAAATATGGTATGGTTTTTGCTTGATAGCTATTTACTGTAACATATTAATACATTCCCTGGTGAGAGTTGAATAAACCCTTCACAATTGCCATTGTTGAAGTAGCTTGTTCACTTCCTCGCTTTTCTGAAAGTTTTATATAGATGAATTATTTAGTGAATTATATCAGATATTAATAAGAGTCGCTATTTCCAAGTTACCTGGTTTACGCGTACGCTTCTTTCTTAAATACTTTCCGTGTCTCTGCAATGTGTTCAACAGCTTCGGCACTAAACAGCCGTAAGGATTTCAATGCGATTGTAATATTATTTATTTATTGCAAATTTCGGAAAACTTACCGAATATACGCATCTTCGTTAACTCTTTTACAATTGGAGCATTCCGCGAGATTAGATTTTGTTGTATGTTCCGTTTATTAAGAGGTGCCACTAAATCGTTAAGTGACTAAAGTTGGGAGCACACTTGCGTAATTAGATGATTATTCGAGTTGGAATATGCTTTTATGCAAGTATCGATAATACAATACCTTGTAATTTTCATATCTCTGTTTCATCTTTATATAATCTTTTACCAATTTACAGACCTGCGACCTTAGAGTAGCGTATCTGTAAACACAATATAATAAATGAATAGGATACATAAATCATATCAAACGTTCGGTTATTTTCTGTGTTGATATTACCTCGCTAGCTTTGATCGCTCATATTCGTAACCTTCATCTGTGGGCCATTGTGATGGGAATGAATCTATCCAACTGAAGTTTTAAATATTCAGATTAGAACATATCGTTTTAAATCGCGCCACCTTTTCCCCCGACCATTGAATCTTTGAATTACCTTAGGCTATCAAAATCCTCGAACCGTTCCACGCGGATACGCCCAAGCAAAGCGTCCCGACGTTTCTGATCGTACAGCGACTGAAGTTGCTCTAACAATTGGCGAACAGATTGATGGCTGAATGTCTGAAGATACTGTTTTTTATTTGCCGTGTTTACTACATACAGAATGAATCAGGTAAATGAGACAACTGACCATATACTGTATTGGTAAATAACCACAAAATACTTACACCTCACAACAACAGAATTGATAACGCTTGGTGGTATGGTGTTATCGTCGCCCTCGTAGTCCTTGTGTTTCTTTAGTGTTAACCATTTTGGCGAAGGCTTGAATGGTTGTTTAAAAATTCGTATTTGTTCTCGTATAAACGCCTTTTTGTGATTATATCTATCTAAGGACGCCATTCAGCCAATTTCGTAGCGAAGAGTCCTGGCGACCATACTGGCTGATTGCACGTGACACATTGCTTCATTTCTCGACACTCCCATTTTCTCACGGTACTGGGATAATAGCGGTTGACATTGTGATTTTTTTTAGATAACAACAAAAACACGCTACGATTTGCATTTTTAATGTTGACGCGATTTGTTGACTTAAATTATATGTCTTCATACTGTATGACATGTATGAGCCAAGTTCCAAATTTCATTAGACCATGGAAGAATGCTTAATTAAGCGAAAAAAAAATCGTCATTAGCTTCTCATTATTATTATCTATAATTTACACATGCTCATAATCACATGCAGTACTATACCTTTGACATATCTTCTAGCCTTTATCACGTGGACTTTTAACTTTTCGTTTTCTTTCCGTCCTGCTTGTTCCTCTTTAGGATCGAATATTGAGACAAAAGCGAAAGAAATGAACCAGACTTATTAAGTATCTATAACATCAGCATGTTGTTCGCTGCAATAACAATAATAACAGTCGTAGAATAATTTGGCTCATCGATTAATATGGCAACAGTACACGTAGATAAAAATAGGCAGTTCGATTAGATATATAAGAAGCGCGACTTTCCGATAGAATTAATCATGTTCAATTAATACTTCTTTCTAATAAACAAGTAGTTTTTTATACTCTGAAATACATTACTGCATTATTAATGATTCGTTCACTGATATAGTTGTGAACCGCTAATCCCTATAGTAATATTCGCCGTGAATATTCTCGTGGCATTACGATTGTTATTTGCTTACGATAGACGTACGTTTGAATATATACTGTACAAGTATACACCCCCATGCCAAAAGATACAAGATTTTACTAGTAAACATATGAAAAGTCGAAATTTTTGAGGGCTAATTCTCAAACAAGTACCAATAACATTTATTGTAGTTTTTAATCGAGATATCAGCAATTTTAGGATATTACTGTTACAGTGTGAGAAGATGAAAGCTTCACTCGCTTAATTAATATTAAATGATTGACGTAGATCGTATTTATACTTTTGGCGAGGTATAGACGACAATCGTTAATATATAAATTTTATTGGTACTTGTTTGAGAATTAGCCACTTGAAGATTTTCGATTTCCATATGTTTTACTAGCATGGGGGTGTACCTCAACCTATAAGCTTCCGAATTAATTCTATCAGGAGGAATAACTCGAGGGCGAATAACCGTCTAGGATTAGTATTAGTGTCTACCGAGCGTGAGAAGTTTAAAGGTCACTATAAGTAGGAGAAGCCACAGCTCCGTTCGAGATAGTCAAATCCCAATCGATTGTTCTCCCGCGATTGATGACTCGATAATACTAATTTTGAGGTTGTCCTCAGGTATAACCAATGAGCTAATTTTTTGTTGCATTTTTAAATACATATTATGAACTTTTTACTCAAAGCAATGTGTTTAATATAGGGATTATGTCTACATAATATATAATATTAATATGAAATTATTTCTACCATGGAACCAAAGAATTATAGCACAATTAGCAGCATGCTAAAGAAAGAACAAGAAGAAAAAACTGCTCCATAGGTTTTTAAAAACAAATGTAATATAGTCTGACGTTGGTTTTCTTTATCGTATGTAGACATTTTCAGAGCTAAATTGGACAAGTGTTACGGTCGCAATGTCTGGGGTTTGAGAGAACGATTATCTTTCCGGGGATGTTACCAGATTTAGCTTCAAGCTACCGCTCTTATTACGGTAGTTGTTCACTTAAGACTGAATACTAAACCTACAAGTAATTTAATTTAATTATTAAAATGCGCGCTTCTTAACTCCCTATACAAGTTTCAGTCACTCGTAATCCAAATAAGGGTGGCTACGACTAGAATGACAACAATTATTCTATTGCAGAATCGAAGGGGATTATAAATTAAACAGGGCTATCTTCGATTTGGTGTTTCGACTAGTCAGGTTCTGTCACTTGTCTCAAACTAATTAAACAATATTCGTTTTAATTAATAACTCTCGTTCCTCAATTAAGAGTACTAAATCAGCGGATGACTTATTATTATTATACAGCTTAAATAGCTTAAATTAGTGAAAACAAAGTTTGTGAAATAGCACAATAGAAGTAAACCTTAGAATAAAGGAGAAGATATGGTTGTGACAACTGATACCTTGTTGACAGATAACTTGCTCAATGCAGAGAAAATACCCATAGTAATCTTTAGATAGAGTAAGCAATAGTAAACTTTGTATGCTGTATTTATAAGAGCAGTTATAGTTGGGACTCTCAACATCTATGGAATTATCTGCTCCTTGAGCAAAAACCAATCATGGGGGGGGGGTTACGGAAACGCCTAAGTCAAGTATCCGATCAACGAATTATTGTTCAAAGACAAACCAAAACAGAAACTATTTTACCTAAGGCATCTTCCTTAATTTTGCCAACGAGCCAATTCGCGTTCAGCTCGAAGTTTATGTCCCGGCACCACACTACATCGTCCGCATCCGAAAAAAGAGCGTTATTATACAGCTCCTTAATGAAAACACCGGATAAATCTACACTCCCAAAACTATCCATCCCCTCCCTTACTGACAACGATAATAATTCAGAACCTATACTCATATATCAACTCATTCTATTACTTCAGTTAATCAACCGACTCAAGCTTTGCAAGACAAATACTTTTATTATACGATCAACAAAAATTTTTGATATAGCATACTGCGGAAAACCAATAAACCGATAATTTTTTTAATTCCCGAAAATTTTGTAATAAAATTCTACTCGGAAAACCGATATAACATATAAAATCGCGCAAATTCGATAACCGATATCATTTGTTTAAGAATAAACCAATATACCAATAGCAAAGCTGAGCATTTTGCTGATAATGATATTATTGCAACCATACAAAACGAGGAAGACGAAAATGATAGTGATAAGGAATATAAATAGCAACCGACAATTTCATTAAAAGTAGCTTTAGAAGTGTGGACAATGTAATGCGATTTGTCAATAATCTTCCTAGAGGTTTCGTCTTCGATAAGAAGGCATTATTATTATCGATTCTGCATTTATTGAAATTAGAAATTTTGCGCTATCAAACAGATAGTTTAAATCAATCACAATTGATAGTTTCATTGACATTGGCACAGCAAAAATAATTGAAGGTGATAAAGCGAATTCACCAACTAATTTCCTCAACCACAAAATAGTGAAGAGCTTAATAAACGACTTTATTATAAAATTATATAGCGAATTCCTTAATCTCCTGGATGGGGAAGTCACTGAGGTGTTTAATGCTTTCACCAATAAAATGTAATAATCCTCAAAACCGATGAAACATTACTATCAGTTCTTCGAGCTTTGACCGTAACAAGTTTCTATACTAATAAACTGCACGGGGGCGCAGCCTCCAAAAAAATTATCTTAGTCATAACGTTAAACAACTTACACGGCGTGGCTATAACTCCTCATGCAGATTTCCAATTACATTACATCGACAATCTTTTGCACTTTTTCTCAACTGATCTCAGTCGCAAAGGGCTTTCTAACCTATGCTTTTAACTTTGTGGGATATTGCGAGTCATCAGTGCTTAACACTTTCTTCGCGATATCCGCAAGCTCTTACGAAATTAAGCTTGCCCGAATTCGGTTCTAAGTTGTTGAGGTATTCCAAGACATCGAATTTCTCAATGCTCATAAATTCAAATGTAGCTTGCAGACTTTTTATAATAAATAAGGCAAGGGTTTGTAAGTGATACAGGCTTTTAATATTAAGGTCAGCGAGCGACAACAAATTTTAATTTACACGCACGCGTCTACGACACACCGACTACGATCGTCCAGATTAAAAATAGTTAACATACTCTCTTCCATAAGTGTTTGAAACTTCGTTCTTTATTCACCCAGGCACTTTTTCTATAAAAATAATGAAAAAAAAAATTAAAAAATAAAAACCAGAATTGTTTGGAAAATAGTGCTGAAATTTGAAATTGTTATCTACTCTCATAAAGTCATTCTTGCTCTTCTAAATTGTAATTACCCCTATTACATTAAATTTGTGGAATTTAATTAAGATTGAATTAATATCAGGTGACCGATCTGATAGTCGGTTCGGCAACTCCGATGCCGACCTTCAAAACACCGGGGAACGTACATCGGCGCATAATAATAAGCATAATGATGATGCTCTTATGAATCTTACCAGAACAAATAATTTAATCCTACCAAACAAACGTCTTGAATTAGATATCTGTCTTACGTTACTCTTTCAAAGACAGCCTTTGCGCCACATGTGCATTCTCAAATCTTTCCTCTCTCATTATTAACTTGAACGTCGTTTAGAAAAAATGTCGACATTTATCCCTGACTTGCAGCGTATTTCTGGATGTACGGCGATGGACCAGCTGATTTTAGATTCCAAAACTTTCTTGCCATGTCTTGAGATGGAACATTACCGCCTTAAATGGATTCCTCACTTTGAGTTTAAAAATATAACGTCAATTCAAAACCCTACCGATAAGTTTACCCACAGTGGTGATTTGAATGTAATACCAGTAACCCTAATGCTACTTGAAACCAATGATAAATGCACTAATGAATTTATTCAAGAGATCGCTAGAATATATTCACTTTCAACGAGTAGACATGAAAATTGCGATCAATTCAAAAGGTATCCAGTATGGCTCGAAAATCGCAATGAGTGGACGATAGGGTTTACTAATTTTGAAGGAAATTACTATATGGTAGTTTGCAAATCTTTTGTTCAATATTATGTACAATACGGATTTTGCTCTGCATGTGGAATACTCAGATGCAGTTTTGTATGGTGTATCTGTGGTCATAAGGAATTGATAAATTCATGGACCAGCAACAATGAAATGCTTGACAAGCTTATTAAGCACTCGCAAAGACAAACGATATCAGCAAACGAAGCCTACCTAGAATGGATTCCATTTGACAATTTGGATTACTTTCAACCATTTGCGTATGCTAGACCTCATGTTGAGAATTCTAGTAATAGACGGTTTGCCCGCTTATCCTATCTGCCAGCTGTTACAGAGGTAGAACTAGTTCCATTTCAAGTATCAGAATATACTGGCGATTCATGCTATCATAAGGTTTGACTATAAAATGCTTTTCTCTGCATATATAAGTTATATAACGTTAAATGGCTTAATTCGTGTAATGTTTTAATGAATAATTTTTATAGTTATGCGTCGATTATCCAGGCATACTTGACAAAAACAAATGGGTTATTGTTGGGTTTACATATGACACAAAAGTGCAAAAATACTATTTGATTAAAAATAGCAATCCATATAGAGATGAGTTATATGGATTGTGTCTGGCATGTACAGAAGATTTGGACCCTTACATAGATGCATTTTGCTTTAACTGTAAAGCACCAAACCCACTTGATGGGACTACTGGCAATAAGTCTTTGGATCTACTAATTATGAAATCTTGGAGTAATACAGTTGATAAGTATGACAACTATATACAATGGATAAAATTCTCTCATTTGACAGCTATACAAGAAAAGCCATTACTGGATTATGCATGCACACATACAGCAGACTGCCTAGGACGACTATTGGCAGCAGATAGAAAGAGTTTGATAAAAGTAATACTCAAAAAAGTTGTTCATGGGCATGATGCAGAAGCATATGATTTCAATAAGGTAATAGTAATTGCAACAACCTTGTCTTGATGTTAATGTGTGCATTATAATAATAATAAGTCATCTTTAAACTAATTATAATCATTATTATTTCACTCAAATAGTTAACAAAAACTTATCCAAATATGTTATCACCACACAATATTCATATTTTTGGCATTGCTCAAGAGCCATCTACTCAAGACTATTATTTGGTGTTTTATGATAATGTATGCCAAGTCTTAGATAAGCTCATGCAAGTTATAAGTAGTCAGCATGAACTAAAATTTATGGAATTTGCTGATTTTAATGAAATTGAAGAGGTTGGATCTGGTGCTTATGGAACGGTCTACACTGCCAACTGCAATAGCTTAAAAAAACAAGTTGCTTTAAAAAGTTTTAAAAATTCAAATGAAATACCAGAATTGTTTATTTCCGAGGTAGGTCTTTCTGATACTGTCAACAGTTTTAATCACATAAAAACTGATATGTGTTTCTAAATATCTTTCAGTGCAAAAATTATGCCAAGTGTTGTCATGATAAAAGTTTTCTTCAATTTTATGGAATTACAAAACAACCAGAGACAAAAGAGTACATGGTTGTGATACAGTATGCCAACGAGGGCAACCTTTTTTCTTATTTGAATCGAAATATTAACAAAATGACATGGAAAATGAAAGCAAACCTCTTAGAACTTATCGCAAATCAGCTAAATACAATTCACTTTTCATCGTTAATTCATTGCGATCTTCATGGCAGAAATATAATCTTGAACAAAACAACAGACACCGATTTGAGCACACCATTCATATGTAATCTTGGACTCTCTGTACCGAAAAATTCGCCCGCGTCAAATACCTCAAGCATTAAAGGTGTATTGCCATATGTTGCACCGGAAGTCTTTCATACTAGAAAATTCACCCAGGAATCGGATATTTATGCTTTTGGCATGCTTATGTACTTGATTGCAACTGGTGAGCCACCTTTCAGGGATAGACTATTTGATGAGCATTTGGCAAGAGATATCTGTAATGGGCTGAGGCCAAAAATGCCTGAATCCGCGCCAGAAAGATATAGGCGACTCGCTGAAGATTGTTGGAATGCGGATCCCAAAAAGCGTCCTAATACAGGTTTACTCGGTTTTACGTCTTATATGTTTACGGTAGGCGATGCTAAAGAGGGTTGGCATACCGTCTATCATAATGATGTAAGGCCTTTATCGCGACTCGAGAAAGAAAGCATATATTCTAGCAGGTTGCTACCCACAGAAAATTTGCCCAAACCAAGAAATGGAAATGACTCTGATTGAAGGTAATTGCAAGTTGTATGTATTGTAATAGCAGTATCCATTAGGGTTTTGATCTATGACTTTGTTTAACAAGGAAAACAAATACCACTATCAGCTGTCTGAGCTAGTATTTTAATCATTTTGGAAAGTAACTAGCATCCAGCTTTTTACTACTGTTATTTAACTAGCGTTGATTATGATATGGACACCGGCTATAAATATGTTTATAAATCCAGAGTTTTGCATGCAAAATTATTGTCGTTCGTCTGGTTTTTGAAGTAATTAGAGCATTGCCTAAATTCTATTTGTCTATTTATATTGGCTTAACTTGTTAGTATACATCACCTACTCCAAAGTTAATTAATTTTTCAACACAAAACTTTTAACTGTAATTTTTGCGCAACAAACTCCTAATTGCCATTCAAAATAGGTCGTCAAGATCAAACTCTACCCAGGCCATTTCATTGCATTTATTTCTTCTCCAAGGCTTTGCATAAATGATATTAAAGATTTCTAACTGTTAACTATTTCTCCAAGTTGCAAAGAATCCGATGTAAACCTCGTCTATAAAGTAGAGTAAACCGATAAACACCATGCTTCCTAGATGCCTGATACATTCTGCTTGTTGACATCTTATCTCATATATCATTATTATTGACTACATCGTATTCTTCTATTTCGTCGCCTTCCTTCACACCTCCCGAATATCCAGAAAGTGCCCACATCATTATCATATCTTTCTTTCCATTATTTTTGAAAATACTTTGGATGTGCAGCTGCGTTTGTAATCGAATGTAACACAAGTAAACGAGTTCGGTTAACAATTTATTTGCATTGTGTATTTTTAAGAGTGCATTATATCTTTAAACTGTTATGGAAAGGACTATGTGTCTTTCGGACCCTGTTGGTTTGACGGATATTAACATTTATTATTATATAAGGGCTCGGAGAATGGCTTGGAGATCGCTTGAGCTGTATATACTTTCGACTTGCACGCTGTCTACTGGTTAGACTACTCTCCCACCTTTCATATACATAATACATTCATTTACACCCCGACAATGAAGTACACCATCGCTACGTTCTTGCTTGCTACTGTTCTTATAACCACTACATTTGCTCAGAATCTGGTCATCAACGTAGGTGAGGGCGGTCTCAAGTACAATCCTGCCTCTATTACGGCCGCCCCTGGTTCTACCATAACCTTTGTATGGATTAATACAATTCCGCACAGTGTAGTTCAAAGTGATAGTGCCGATTCCTGCACTCCAACTGTTGGTGGATTCAACAGGCAAATGAAGGCTGGTGAGTCCTGGGTATTAAAAGTCCCGACCGACAGGCCTAAGGTAACTACATTATTATGCCAGGCTACTTCGATCTCATGTATCTGTAACTTGTAACTCATCTCCCTGGTTTATAGGTATGGTTTTACTGCAATGTCAGTACTCACTGTCAGCAAGGAATGAAAGGTGTTCTCACAGTTTCAGGTGTTAACCCTCCTAGTGGTGGCAATTCTACAAATCCTGGCGATTCTCCTAATACTTCTAACGGATCTCCTACCGCGATGATTGCTGGAATTGCAGCTGCAAGCATAGTACTAGTCGTAATTCTGGGACTGTTATTTTATAGGAGGAACAGGGATCTGGCAGATGGCAGGGAGAATGGAAATGATGGGGGAAATATTGGAGCTACTCGAGATGTCGAATCCAGTGACATTGCTTTATCAAATTTATCTTCGTCATCAATTACAGTACCCTCACTTCAGTATCCTACTCCAGCTCTACATGCTGTATCATCAGCACCTTTCCTCGAAATAATATCTCCATTACATACGACGGGTGAATCCATCACCTCATCTTTGGCAACTTCTACAGACGATTCTAAGATGACGGTCACACCCTCATCTATATATTCCCCAGTCTCAACGGGCACCGCTATATTTAATAGAAACAGGCATAACGGGTTAACAGAGTACCGTGACGGCAACACTATTTGTCATGCTGAGGATAAGGCCATGAGTGAAGATGCAAAAGTGAAGGATATATCTAATCACAAATTATTTGAGCATGAAAATATATTTTTGAAGCGTCGTCGTGCATCGCCAAATATCGGTGTATTTTGTGATCAGTATGAGGTTTCGGATCCATCCGAGTGGAAGTATACTAGAATGAGTCTGGACAGATACATTGTTAGTAATATGATTCCGATTGCTTTTAATTGTTATTGATAAGTATTGTATATGAGCCTATTAACAAACATTTGCGCTATACTTTACCATGATCATATGTTTAAAGACATCCACCGGCAAATCAGGATCCACCGAGAGAATTATTACTCGTCTTCCGGATTGTCGCCCCTTACTGAATATTTTAAACACGTATTTAATAATAGAACGATTGAAAGCATCCAAGGTTGCTGAAAAATATAGAAACAGTTCGGAGAGTATGATAAAGTGCATACAGGGCCCCCCCGCATTGCTTGCATGAATTTGAGATATTCTTAGATGATGATTGTTATGGCTTTGCGATAATGACAACAACAATTTATGTAACATTGAAATAAACGAACTCACTTTATTGATCTAGTGGGTTTTGAACGAAAAGAATTAGACAAAAAAACCTCGTCATTTGTACACGTGTAACTTGCCCCAAATTACATTCGATAAATGCATCAAAACCATCTTGTTTACACTCTAAAATTGGAATTACGAAGTCCTGTAAGAGAATCACGGCCACATTTTAAGATCCAAGGCGCTATAAACTGTAGAATCAAGGCTCGTGTCACCCGAGTAATATTCTCTGATCTTAACTAAGAGTTTACGTTTTTGTTTTAAAGATGTCGGCTGGCATTTATTACTCCACCATCCGTTGCTTTCAAAAAAAGCTTTAGAGAGAGAGCTTGAAGTGTCTCACATTGTGACCAGAAATACATTGCCTTTCGTACTCTGTAGAACTGCTATAATTATAATTTTTGTATATGGCCAACCCTATATTAATATATTATTTCTATCACTTTGTGGTTTGATAGATAATACTACTAACATGAATGGAAATGGAATAACCACATTTAGCTACAATTGTTTCACAAGAATAATTCTACACCGAAATCCGATTCCTGAAATCGAAGAAATGTTGGGAAAGGAGAGATGGCGGCTCCAACAAGATAATGACTCTAATACCAGCCAGTTTGCAAGGGCATTCAAGAATAGGGCGGGAAAGCGAATGCCGAAAAATCTTGCAGAATTCTTGGTTGAGGAGTGGGATAATATTTCACAGAATGGACTAAATAATTTTGTAAAGTCAATGCGTTGCGAGCTGTTATTTAGAATAATGGAGAACGGATTCGATATTAAATTTTAGTATATTTTTCAGTTTTCAAATGACACTTTTTTTATCTAATTCAGTACGTTTGTCAATGAATCTACAAACTGTATATGTTGTCCACTAAACAAGTCCTTCCTTTATACTAATACAGTCAAACCTCGGAAACCAATGTGACTGTCCTCACCATTTTCTATCGGTTTTGCGAGGTATCGGTTTTCCGAGGTTTTTGTTTCTTATTGGCTAGTGCGAAATCTTCGACCTCAGTATACGTAGAATTGATAGTGTGAAATGTTGGGCTGTGGTTGTTGACTTACGTTTTCGCTTGCGAGATTGCATTCTTGAGATTTTTATTATAGATATAGATGTACTACTACTACATTATATCGGTTTATCGAGGCTCTATCTATTATGACTATCGCCAAAAAAATATCGGTTTATCGGGTTTGCGAGGTCTATATTAATATGTAATGTCGGTTTTACGAGGGGTCTATCATATATAAATTGCACGGGAATTGAAAAAAGTATCGGTTTTGCGAGTTATCGGTTTTAAGCAGTATCGGTTTCCCGAGGTTTGACTGTAATACGTATATTAATATACAAGTGAACATCATACCATGTGATAGAAATAATGTGGCTGAACTTACATTGATTGCACTAATTTATAGAAATTGCATTCTTAATTCACACTATTAAAAGGTATTTTAAAAAGAACAAGAGAAAAAATTTCTCCACATTAATATGTTTTTATAACAATGCTTGTGAAAATTCTTGAAGATTATATATACTTGTGAAATTTATCAAGAAGAGCAACAAATAAATATAAATGAGCATTAACGCCAACTTATGACGAACTAGGCAAAAAACGAGAAATAGAAGAAATATAAAGCAAGAACATTTAGTTAAGAAAAAAAACCAAGTCTTTTTTATCCTTTTCATATTCAAAAAAGCCAAGTATTTTTTTTTTTAAAGAAAAACAATTATCATTTATGAATGACAGTTTGGATACCTAAGTTCTAGGCACAGCGAACTTTAATCGGCAAGGAGGAGGGGTTTTACTCCTGGGGTGGTATATTAGGAGGCAAAAGTTCCAGTCAAGCTTATAAAATTTAGTAAGTAATTAGGGTTAGGCTAAGGTTACTCATCTCAAGCAAAATTAAATCAAACACTTTCGCCAACTTTATATTAAAACTTAACTTTATTCAGTCATAGCACCGTAATTTGTCGACAAATAAACATAGGAAAAAAGAAATACAAAACAAAAACTAAAATTTAAGGGCAAAAAAACTTGGCTACCGAATAAAAAAATCCAAAGAGGGAACTCTTGGAAGATATGTTGGCTAAATAGTGTTAGTTGTTAGCGAAGAACAGCTAACTAACAGAGAGACAATCTTGCTAATACTAAGTTCGTTTGGATAAAAAAATAAAAATAAAAATAAGCCCTTCAAAAAAGATTAAAAGAAAAAGAGTTGAAATAAGAAAAAATTTCAGCATAAAGAAGCTTTGCTAAGTCAGGAGATCGAGATTTTTGCAGTTCATTTGAAGAGAAAGATAAAAAGCAATTTAGCAAGTAATCAAAGCAATCAAGTAAAGAAGAGCAAATGAAAAAACGAGAGCTACTCCTACAACGGTAAGTATAACAGTAGCTTAATATTACCGGTAGGTAGTACATGATAACATTTTAGTCTCGCCCAGACGCTTTGATAAAGAAAGCGACTGCAACGATAATATAACCGATACCGGTGCCTGCGGCAAGAATCCCTTCAATCGGATTTGGTGTAGGAGGGGGAGGCATAGGAGTTTGAGAACCACGGACGATACTAGGAATCAAATCGTCAGGACCAGGCATTTTTGTTAAACCTGCAATGTTAATTACATTAAATTTGCGTTGAACACTTGACAGACTTTTGGAAATATCGCAACTTACTTTTGATGAAAAGATTCAGACAGGAGTTTTTTTCGACTAATAACAAAACTTATCGACCACAAAAGCAAAGAGCAAAGAGAACAACACCCGCTCTTTCATAACAAAATCCTCTCCCACGCTTAAAATTCTCAGGCTTTCCATTAGGGAATGATAACCTTGCTTACTAAGGCAAAGCACGCCATTAGATAAAGAGTGAAACACAATTCTCAATTAAGCATAGCCAACACCAATCAAATAAATTCCTCTTTGCTTATCTCTTAAACTAACTGGTTTAAGACCTTTATCAGAATAACATCTGTGATCAATTCGAGCAATTTAATTGGGCTTTAACTTATTGATTGCTCTTATTAACTCTTAAGGAGTTGATTTTTTTAACTCTTTGTTTTCTTCTTTATTTTATCTAAAAAGTTCTTGCATTCGTTTTTTGTGTCGGTCTTCAGCAATTTATAAGACTTCCAATGAGATAGTAACTTTTCAGTTAACTGTTCTTTCTCTTCACATAATAATAAGTCATTCATAGATATTATATTTACATTGAATAGTTTTTCTAACATTCTTAAAAGCATAATAATAATCTTTTGAACCCTTATTAATACCATGTTTTGACTAGAGCATTGTTAGAGTCCATTATGTGGTCCTCTTTGACATTAGATAATACTGAATTGCAATGCCTGATGATAACCAGATCGTTTCTAAAATATGAGATAGTCAACATTTAACTCCAGTTTATCCAGAAATTTTACTCTAAGTTCCCATGCTAAATTGTAAATGCCATAACTAGAAAAGAGATGAACAAGAGAAGCACACATAGTAATAGCATTTGAAGTGTGCCATTGTCCCAATCTTAATTGTAGTTTTTTTAGCATTAATTTGTCCTCTTCTTGCTCATCATTTTCATGATCACTTCTACCTGCTCCATCTTTTATCTTTGTAAGATGCTGGTAAATTGCCTGGTCTGCCCATACATCCAACTTATTATTATCTTCATTTGTAACGTTCAAATCATCAAAGTATGTAAAACAAACTTTCTCAATATTTTCATTGGAATTTGGTGCCTTGCCTGGTTCAAGAATTATCATGTTGGGTTTTGGAACTTTACAACTATTGTAATATCTTTTAACAACTCCATGTGAATGTTATCTGGATCAATACCTGCCAACTTATCATCATCAAGTGTATGCTGCTTTGATGTTATAAGGTTTTTAATAACATTACTCACTTTTCCAAGCCAGGCTTCAGAATAAAAATCTTCTTCAAACAAACAAGTTGTTTCATCAAGTTCCATTTCATCTTCATTACTATTATTATTATTAGTGATAGAGCCAATTTGTTGTGGAAGTGTAAACTGAAAAATTACATGCAGTGTAGCATGGAATGTTTTTAGAGCCTTATTATAAATATTATCATGCTCATAAGTAGCTTCCTCAAAATCAATGTTGTCAACTACACAGACATTCCATATATTAGTATATGGATTAATTCTGTTGGATCTGCTGATTGTATTTGATGTCTTCTTAGAAGACATTCCCATTGGCTATGAGAGACAACATTAACTGCTTCAAAAAAGGATCTTATGGATGGTAATGATTTTGGCTTGTAACATGCTATGGCTAATACTAAAGCATGTGTAACCAAGACTTTTGATTTTTTAAAGGCAGTTGTTAAGATGATTGATGACAGGAATGCAACTATTTATATTCTTGTAATTTTTTCACACTTGCAGTGGTAGTTGCCTTTGATATTGACTTGCCTTTTTTTTATTACTCACTTGTTTTTGCATTTTGAAAAATGTTGAGACAATTCCAATAATAATAAATAGTTTGAGATATTTCATTAACATAGAAAGTTAATGAATCTGGTGCCTCCAAAACATTTTTCTTGATGTTTATAACATTACATGAGTTCCAAATGTTTTTGGCAAGGTTTTCCCCAAATTGAAATAAAGTCTCAGGTTATTGTAGTATTAATAATATTATTATAATTAAGACTTTCTGGAGACATTCCATGGTTTTTTAAGATTGTCCTAATTACAAATGGTCTTGGTATTGGGGCTCTATCAGATGTCTCTGGTTCACTTTCTTGTAAAGCCTGCAACATTTGTACTGTATATCTTAAAACTCTCTCCTTTAATGGGCTGTCATCTTTCTTGGCCACATGTAATACCATGTTTCCGAGTAATTCCAGTGATGTTGTTATATCTCCTGCATGTTTTCCTGTGTTAGCGCAGGCTTTGTCACTCTGTTCTCCTAGCCGGAATTGGTGCTAGTTTTTGGATAAGCATAGGGGTATTAATAACTATGAAATTTCAGTATTTGGCACTAGAATTGGTGCTAATGGTGTGAGAAGAACTTTCACATGTCTGAATAAAGAGCAATTTTGAAATATGTAAAGTTTGAGCTATTAATGTTCATCTATGGTTTCTTTTTAATATCAGTTCCCAAGTCCCTTAATACCTGGGAGAGCAGCGGTGTACTAGCCGTTTTGGGTTTTAGTTCTTTTCCGGTGCAAATGCCCGCCTTGTGGTCGTTGAGAACTGCCTTTGTCATTTTCTGGACAACACGTGGAACACTTTCAATCGCTGGGCAATTGTGTTGACCTATACACGGAGCTTGTGTTTTTTTCCTCAAAAATAGCCAACAATGTTCTGTACATTCCTTCCCACGGTAGTAAACACGATAATATTTTTTACAGAATACACAACGATGACTGGTAATAGTAGCCTTTTCATGGCTTTTGCTTTGCTTCAATCCAGGCTCATGTAAAGATCGGAAATCAAACATAAAATGAGTATAACATACTCCAAGCCGTTCTACTTGTTTATTTACATCCACGGCTTGACTATCGAGTTCCCACGCGCCTATGAGATTCCAAATTTCTTGTACTTCCACAACCTCATTCCGTTTCTCAAGAACGACACATGGTGTTAATGAATCACATGTTTCAGATTCGGATATTAATATATCTTCGTTTATAAGCTCATTGTTATCATTATCCGCCTCAATATCGTCTTCACAATCTTCGTATTCTTCATCACTCCCCTCCTCACTGTTTCCATCTTCGAAGTTATGCATTATACTCGAATCGAATATAAGCGTATGACCATGATAGTCATTGTCTTCCGTGTTGCTGTCAACGTCGTCAAAGCTTCTGAATGCGTTGCTACTTTGATTTGACATAATGAATTTATGTGTACGATAAATAATTTCTTAATTTTAGAAATCTGTTTTGTTAATAAAGTCAATAGAAAAATAATGGAAACGCATAATAATAATAGCGATAGAGTTTTATTATTGGTAGTGTTATTGGTAGTAGTATTGGATAAAGCGAAAATTATTAGCCTGTCGCGATTTATATCATCACAAATTGTGCCACAATAACAAAGTCGCGTCGTGACCCGCTATTTGATTCGTTATTGCAACATATTACTGGTCAGCTTAAATTTATATGATTATAACACAGCAATACAGCAATATAACGGGTATTGGACGACAATCTGAAACAACACGTCGTTCGAAGTTCAGAAATGGAAGCAAGCTGACATTATAAATTTTTACAGAACAAGAAGGAATCTTGACGATTAGATATTAAAACCAAAAGGTCTCCGGCCTTGCATTCGCAGAATAAGCTTATGAAATATAGTTTGAGAGGAGAACCCGAAACAATCACATGGTTGATCAAAGAAATCAAGGACAAAGTACAGTAGTAAGCACTATAACTGTATGCGAATATTCGAAACCTATACTGTTTTCCCCAATAATTTGTTGTTGTTATTTTATTCGTAATCAATATCTACAGGCATGCTAGATCTGCGAGTGAAGCTTTGCAACCACATATGCAAACTGTTGTGGCATTTTTGGTATAACTAATAATGTTTTGCAATGCAGATCTTTCAACTACTAAGCAAGCATATAGTAATGTGATAGAAACAACAGCTTTAGCGGTCCACCGACCCACCAAATCAACTACTAAGTAACATTTTTCCAATTTGGATAGCTATGAAGAAGGTTAGCTTATAGTATATCAGATATGTCTGCATCTGTAGAATTCTTGTCATCTCAACCAATATTCTGTATTTATAGAACAGCAAAGAAACATAAAGATTTGGAGTTTGCACTCATGTTAAAGACAAGCAGTTGCTTATTCACTGCCCCAGAATGTGTTGGTCCACCGTAATACATCAATGGCCCTTAATATCATTCACGAAATGGCAGACTTATACTGCAATTACAGTGTTACCTAAACTAATTGCTTAATCTACTGCGCCGAATGAGACTCATATAATAATAAACGAAGCTTTAGTTGGAATTGATTATGATTGCTCAGAAAAACTTGGAGTAGAATCGTCTGTTGTTAGATGTTTGACTAAGAATCGGTACGTCAAACAACAAATGTTGAACAATTTGACAATAAAGATATATTTATATATCAATATATAACGAAAGCGATCTCCGGGTTCACAGTGTATTACCGGTATATTGATTGTGGACTACGTCGGCCCAAAATCCTAACGTTTCGGGGTAACAAATTCCAAATATTTTTGTAGAATCAATGACATTGTATCAGGTTGTTGAACGAATACATCTGAATCTGCTTCAAAATGATAAATCAATAAAGACGATGGAAAGACACTTTACTCCGAAGTGAAAATACTTTGATTAATGTTGACTTCATTTTCGTTTGATTAGAAATAATGAAGATCTATCGCACAAAAGTTGTCGGATGGCCACGCTACCGCAGTCACGACGACGAATGAAATAATAATAATTACATGATTCAAAAATAATCACAGTCTCATTCCAAAGCACTCTTTCAGCCATCAGCGCAATTCCTTTTCCTACACAGTTAACTCTCTCTTAATAACGAAACAAGCTTGAGTAAGAGTGAAGTAAAGTCTCTCGCAATAAAAGTTTCATCGACTGTTCCTGATTTTGTCAACCAATACTAACATGTTAATATTAATGCAAGTTGTTACTGCGGTTTTGGGACCAACAATGTTAATATATTCAACTATACTGAAACAAACTTGTTTCTTCAGTAGATAAATACGACACAGAGCAAAGTATTACACTAATACATTAATATTTCAAAGCATTCATTTCTTTCTTAAAAATAGAAAGCCGCCCCTTGGCCTGCACTACGTCACTATTCCATTGAGTAGTGTGCGAATGCTAAGCCTTCTGTACGACATGAATCTTTCCATTCTCGGATGCATATTAGGTGATCGAAAATTTTTGATACGTCAGAAATCCGACAACAATGAATAGTCATTGCACTTCACGAAATAACTTTATTTCGACAAATAACAATAGCCAGCAGAGCAGTACAATAATTGCTGTCGGGTAAATGGAACACAGGCCTTTTGTCTTTCTCCGACTCGGTGCTATTCTCCTGAAATATACATTTTAATTTAATTTCAATAAATGACACTGAACATTTTTCCGGCAAGTAATTATTATTATTATTTCTCAAACTACCGTGTGTATGACAGCAACACAATTTTTGCTATCCATTTGCGATTACCTATACTAATACGGTATTGCAGGTTCCCGCTGGAGTAAATTCTTTCGACACAAAGACCATATCAATATGAAATTGTACTAAATCAGAAATGGGGCTCATTCCATCAACAGATAAATCGCATTCGGCCTATTTCCCTCCCCCTTACTTGTTGGCGTGGGTGGGTGTAAACAAAAAGGTAGGCTATCAATTAAGGACCTATGTGATTCAGGGCTATCCCATTTTTATCTATGGTCAAGTTCATTGATTGCTATCACCTGACTTGCCAAATAAAACTTATAGCTATATATATATATATATATACACAATGACTGCCACCGTTGGAAGCCTTGGAACGCTTTTCTCTTACATTCGTGGATAGGTTATATATACCCTCCCACGAAACTGAAAACTCTATTCTTTCATTATTATTACTAGAGCCGCGTGTTGTTGACGTTCCCCTAAATATGGCTCCAAGGCATGATAGGACCCCTTCCCTCACGGGAAACAACACATCAGCTACACGCCTACGGTACAGTGGGTCATCGTCTACGACTTGTTACAACGAGAGTCTTAGGCAGCTTGACATTTTGTCACGCAATTATACTAGCGTCAGAGAAGACTCGAAAAAGAGAAAACCAAGTCAAAGCACTAAGCTCAAGAAAGTCTCCTTCAATCTTAAAAACGCTTTGAGAAGTGGCCAGGTACGGTATAAATTTTGCATGGCTTTTACGTGTACTGTCATATTTGGAATTTATGCGTATCTGGATATCGTCGACGAGGCTGTAGTCAGACTATATCGGTATCGACCAGTTCGTATTAGTATTAATTGACATTTTACGCCTTGTGCATCCTGCTTGTTCTTTGTTTCATTAGGTCGCCCTTAGCGATAGCGAAGACATTGAACACGAAGCAATTATGTGGAAACTGAAGCGCATGGAAGTTCAAGCTCAGGCTAGAGAAGGTTAGCATTATACTATAGGACGGCTTACCTAAAATGATTGGGCATTCTATATAGTGTATAAAAACATCTTGTTTACGCTTGGCAAATTGTTTTATGTTAAGCAATTTGAACAGGTGTCTACGTACCTATTTGTATGCAGCCTTTGTATACGGTCTTAAACTATATTCAACTTATTTAATTCTATAGTGAAACGCAAACTTCATAAACAAAACCAAGAAATTCGTCAGAAACGACGAGAGTTGCAGCATCTAAAGACTATCGAAAAGCAGTTACTTCAATGGTTAGAAACTTGTGATGATAATTGTGAAGAAATACCACAAGAAAAGCAAGTTACAGCATTCGATTCCTTGATAGCGGTAAGTTTACGAACGTTGGATGATGACTAAACGGGGTGCCCTTAGCATTGTTTAAATTACTTTCATGTTAGTGACTAACGAGTAATCAAGCTTATTTGTTTTGTTAATTTTAATCTGAAAACTGCTTACTCATTCTCTATTTTACTCTTTGAATATTCTGTTCCAATCGCAACGTTTTCTTCATACTAAAAAAAATTTTTTCTCTTTCAATCGAATATTCTATATAGGCTAATGTGAATCGCATGTACATGGTCGTTGCTGCTTTTCTCTCGTTCTTTCTGCTGCGATTCGTTTCGTACGGCTCATTAGCAGTAAACCGGTTGTAAATGCTGACAAGGGGAAGTCACTCAAGTTTACATATCTGGTGTGCTGCACGTATACATAATTGATAAAACCTTTGGGGCCATGCTCCGAATATAAATTAGTATCTTTCAGAATACACCTATTCATAACCAATTATTTAGTTCTTTCATAATAGTATTCCAATACCCCTTCTCTGATATAAAGTTACTTCCGTAGCGAGTGGTAACGAAGCCTTACCAGATTACAGAAGTTTGGCAAAGATAATCGTGAAGCAAGTGTGATTGTTGGGAGTGCAGTGGTAATCCCTTATTCACTACCATCGAAGCAACACGAACAGCTTGTTTAAGCCTCGACTAGCGAACGTTTAACCTCTGCGAGGTTGGGATTACAGGAATCAGAAGTCCTTCTGAGTTACATACATTACATGTTTCATTGTAAACTTCTTGAACAAATTATTAGACATATTTCCCAATCACACAGTTAAATAGGCTTGGAAATAATAATATAACTCTTAATTATTAGCAATATTGATATGAATATAGACATTTAGTTTAAAGTCGGTCTTTTTCTTAATATTAAGATTAACTTGAATATACTAATACTTTACATCAAATAAATGATTATCTCAAACTAGACGCGTTCAACACGCAGATTTGTAGACGTCATCAGCGCTACACAACCATATTTAGTATACACAAATTTGCGGTCATTAATATTAACCTTAGCCTGTTCTTTCCTCTGATACCATATAATTTAGAAATGAGTTTCATACAATTCACTGATTGGAAGCCCGATCGGTTTAAAAAACTGTTCGAACAAATAACAAAAATTTTCCGCACGCCTACGCATAAGAATCTGAGGGAGCTTCGGACGGAACTAATAAAAAACAAATCTTGGTTCATAAACCTATTAGACGTTCCACCGAAGAACGACGCAAGTAGAACACAGATCCGCCAAGGTATGTCAGATTGTTTCTTAGAAAGAAATAATGTCTGGGAGGGGGCTCAGTGAGAGTTTGTCTCATTAGCAGAATCCGAAAAATAGCGACTTATTTCCGCAAGTGACCATAAATTCGTCCCTGCTCCCTCGGAAACGAATATTATCCAGGATCAATCGTTATAAGCGGTCAGGAATATAAGCTCAACAATCAGTATATTGAAGCTACCATAATTTTATCTGATGCTTTGAACATTGATGAAAAGTTCGCCGCCACGCTCTATCTACACGGCGTTCAATGTGCTTACTCGAACAAATCAGCACTACACCAGGCAGTATTGCTATTTCTTAGCGAAAGCAATTATCTTCTCGGATGTCTCTATACAATCATTAGCACTCCAGGACAAGAAGATTACGATTTGAACGTCAGAGAATTATTCCAGGCTTTTGTGAGTGAATTGGTAGAAGGATTCAAGAAGAAAACTCATCCAGAGAGTTTTGCGAGCAAGCTCATGAAAACTCTTGCATCACTGCGTATTGATCTGAATGATTTGAATGACCGACAGATACAACTGAATCGTGGCATCCAGACATTACAAGGTCAAGAACAACGACAACTTCGGCAGGAATCGCAAGAGCAATGGTTGGCAATTCGCGACCGTCTTGTTGATGTGCTTCAAGACCGGATAAAAGCTTTGACGTCTCAGCGTAAAAAGCTTGCTCGCATTTTATATACGTACTCGTATAACTTTTTACTTGAGACTCAAGAAATTTTCGAATTAGCAGCGATTCTACAAAAGGCTAATTTACAGGATTTTGTTGTTCCTCATCTTGTCTGTTCACTGCTTGCTTCCATCGACATTACTCCAGAGCATGTAAATCTGAAAACCGCAATTGTTAGATTCAATCAGACAAGAAGTGATAGAGACTTTATCTCTAATTTTACCCAACTAGTAAGTTCTGATGGATGGGATGCCAAGGAAATTCAAGCAGTAATCACGTTACAATGGAGTATGTATGCATGGGAAGCAACAAAAAAATCGCCTGCTTTGCGACAACAATTAAACCTTGAAGATGACCAGCTGACGCGTATGTCGGAGAAGGCAATACTCGATGATGCCTTCCAATTCATAACCTATTATTTATTATCGTTTACATCAACTAATCATGCCATCGAGCCCGCGCGTCGAGTTGAAATTGAAATAGACGAAGAGTTTCGTTATTTTCTATTGCAACAGTTGCGTCTACTTGTTTTATCTTTCATAAGCACTAATATGTTTGGTGCTCTTAAGAAAATTCAGACTCGCGAAGAAGATGCTCATATATCCGTAGGCGTGCAACCGCAGTCGCGTCCACCAGCAACGAAAAAACAACCGAAAATGCGACACGATGTGGAGGCTTTTTTTATGTTGATTGCTGCACTATATAGAGATGAGCCAGACGAAGGATTGATCATGTGGCACGAGCATCGACCATTCTTGCATTGGGCATCTGGCTGCGATGAACAAGGAATGATGAGAGCATTCTTGGAAATGCTTGCTTCGTTGGCAACAGGCACAAGAGCTAGCGAGGCTGCAGACGAGTTTCTCTTGGCAAATGAACAAGCTGTGAACACATGGTGCTCATGGAAAACATTAGATTCTGCGCTTAAAGCATATGGATCCCCGCTTGGCATGGGAGTTAGTATGGCATCCGGACCGAATTGGCAGTACGTGGAGGAGATTAGCAAAGGAGAAGTTCCGGTTCTTACTGCTTTCGCAAGAGTTCTTGGCCAAGTGGTGAAATATTCAGGAATAGCACGTGCAAGGCTGTTCAAAGAGAAATACCTTGAGAAATTATTCAATTTGTTAAGTTTAAACGTGTCTCTGGATTTGAAGGCAGCGATATTTGACGCCATTTCCGCGTTTTGCGAACCACTAGATGATTATGCTGATATTATATGGCAAGTATGGTCTCATCTAGAACGTTTACCTGTGTTTCCGAGGAATGATATGAACGGTAGAATGTTGCCATATGGAAATAATGGAGCATCATTGAAGCGAGAATTAGAAGAGAAGGAAGTACCGAACAAGAAGTATCCGGAAACAATCGCATTTCTTCATTTGATCAGCGTTCTTATTCATATTCCCAACAAACGTGCTGCTCTTCGTACTGGTCTGCCCGTCAGATCGCCCACTATACCTCATAGCCTAGGTGAACCATATCGTTCTCGTGGAATTATCCCTTACATTGAGTTTATCATTGACAACATTCTTGTTAAAGCTCTTACTCGAGCATACGCTTATCCGCCAGAGAAATGGAACGTATTGGCGCTATCATTAGACATTGTTGAGAAATGTCTGATATGTTTTGATCTGACCGGACTGTTTTATCAAGACGCATTCCAACGTTCTTTAGCTTCTGTTCGAGGAGCACCTGTTAATCTTGCAGCTATACTACCTGAACCGATAGAGACACTGAAACGACATCCTGGGTATGATATAATGAAGCGTTTGTTGTGTAATTCTCGATTAATGGATGTTATTTTTGAAATTATATCGTATGGATTTGAAGCCATCAATGAGAATAAGATGAAGACGCCTCTCTTTGCTCAATCCGTGCTCCATTGTCTTCGAATACTCGAATTGGCTTTACGTAAGCAGGACCGATTTACGAACAAGTTATTACCCTTAACTAAGGACAATTTGCAGCAGGGACGTCTGGAGGCAGCCTTTATGTCTAAACCGGAAATTTTAGTACAAGTGGCATTATTATTACAATGTGGTCACTATAATGATATATGTTTTCATTCAGTTAATATATTGGCCATATTATTGCGCTCTAGTACATTTAATGCGGGCAATATGGTTGGCGCTAAAATCAATAGATTGTCTGCCGTCTTAACAAGATCGCCTGATTCGGATAGAATACTTTCTGGATTTGTGGACAGATTAGAGTGGAAGGGTGATGATGAAGTGAGGGATATTCTCATTGATCGGGAGGATGATGAGATTGAGAGGATAATTGAGCAAGATGCAAAGGACACTTATTTGAGCAGAATGCAGGACGAGGAAGAGGAAGATGAAATGGCTGCTTCATTGGAAAACGAGGAAGGAATAACTGCAGAGACAGTAGGCTTTGCTATACTGGATTTAATATTAGAAAGTTTAAGGAGCAATGAACCGTCACCCAAATTTGCACATTTCTTGCTTGGATATGCTTCATATGGCTCCGGTGAATCAATCGCCATGTATGAAGGTATAACCACATGCTTTCATGTTATACTAAGAATGCTGGAGCCTCCTGTTGATGATGCTAGCGAAAATGATGACGAGACAAGGCGGGCCAATTCGCTGGCTGTAACTAACCCACTGTTGGCCAGTCGTTGTTATGAAGTTATATATAGACTTTGTAGTAACAATCAGACTGCAGAGAAAACTCTGGTCACTCTCCGTACTCAATACAACTTTACATTCGATCAATTTAAACTGATATCACCACATATAGAACAGCCAGTCGTATCATATGAAGATAACAGTGTAGTCCATCGACATGACCAGTCTAAGGTCAAGATCGACTTGGCCACATTAACTGCTTATATTTGGCAGAGAACTTGGCTAATGAAGTTAGTTGCGCTTGAACTGAAGAGATGTCCAACGCGTTCCAATGTAGAGAATCTATTGGCTGTTTGTTTTGGAAGTAATGCAGTTGGAACCAGTGACGAGAATGAGTCTGCTCCAATGGATGTTGTTGGAGATGACACAATGAAGATACTGGAATTACTTCATATGTTAGAGCATGAATGGCAAGATCAATATCAAATGGATAATCTGCATCGTCGCTATTTCGATCGTCTTAATATTGACATATTCCAAGAAGTAATGAATAAGAAAAGTAAGAAACGACGCACTGTGTATAATATCAGAGACATTTACTCGGCTCTTGAATTGGAGAAAATGAAATTGAGAACCACGATCGGCAGTCGACAAGATTGGCATAATATGTGTGATGAAATGAAGCGGATAGTCAGATACTGTTTTTTTATGAATAGACGAGTCAAATATGTTGATACTCGCCAACAATGTTTCTTTGCGTGGAGAGAAGTCGTAGATATAGTTTTTTATAACATGTATGAAATACTTCGATTCGAAAAACGTGAAGCTATAGTGCAGGATATCTTATCACATACATTGAAAGTTATTAAAGATGAAGATGAAGCGATAGCAGAGTGTCTAAGTAAGACGGTGGTAGCCGCTATTACCACGTTCAGACAGACTCGCCTTATGCAAGATATGTTTCAATCAGCCTCCAATAATCAATCTTCGAGTTCATCTGCGACAGTTTTTCCAGAAAATTTCTGTGACATTTTTAAACAGATAATCGACTGTCTCTTGCTTGATTTGACAAGAATAGAGACTAGAATGAATCTATATATCGCTATCTGTACTTATTTACGCTATTGTAATTCGGAAAGAGAAGAAATATTATTTCCGGTTCAAAGTGCATACCATAATAGACAATCACTTGCTAGTACATCTACATCTGCAGCAGCGTCAAACCAGCCATTAATCACGCCTGTACGCGGTACTGGTGTAAGATCTGTTGTTGATGCTGGTAATCTGTCTATTCTTCGCAATGCGGGGGAGAGATTACTAGAGATTATCAGATTAGATGCATCAGAGGGTCAAGTTGGTGGGCAGTTAGCTGCATTGACCGTATTGGCTGTATTATGCGTTGTATACTCGAAAGAGAAGATTAACATAGTAGTTGACTTCTTGATTAGAAGTCAGTTCGTGGCTAATACGATAGACGAATTGAAGCGTAGTGATGATTTATTGAAAAAGGCAACCAAATCCACAAGAGGTGGGGTACACAAAGTACATTTGCATCTGTGATATAGTTGAATGATACTTACGTTATTTATACTTTTAGAGCTACCTGTTGTTCATGCGACGTATTTATTTGAGTCGAGGATATCCTTGTTACTTCGGATTTCCCAGAGACCTGAATGTGCTGGCAAGCTAGTTGATTTTGCTATAATGGAGACTATGAAGGAATTAACGTTTTTGGATGAACGACTACCACATAATATTTCTCAAGATGAAGGTGAGATTGTAAATTTTTTGTTATTGAGTTTATGTATCATATCAATGTTACGGTCGTTCTCGGACCATTTTGCTGAAATCTGCAGTTTATTTTGTTTCGCTTCCTTAAAAACAATAACATTTCAATCCAACCTATCTGATAACTTAGATAATTCTGACAGAACGTCATACGAGAAGTATAATTCGCTATTACTGATGGTCATACGGCTTATTGTGAGTATTCTAACGGCCATCGGACACGAGAGCGGTAGTGTATTAGGAAAGGTAAGCGTACGAACTGTATATTCGTAAAAATGTATGATCTTCATTCCATTTAATTTCGACCAACTTTTTAGGCGACAGGTTTTGTTGCTAGTCATCAAGGGGTAATGGCGGATATCTTTACCGATTTCATACCACTTAGTGCGTTGACATCAAATAACAAGACAACACGAACACGCTGCATCAAGCATCTTGAACTATTATGTGAAGTGACCGCACTATTTTTTTATCTCGGTAACAAAATAGATTCGGTTGATAAATCGGTAAGAAACACAAACTGTCGATAAGCATGGATTTTTCTCATCATAACCGATGTTTTGCTTTATTATACTGTAATATGAAGAGAACGGGGAATCATCAGCCAACGTTCCATAATTTAATGCGGGAGCTCATTTCGCGCTTTTTTACATACAACCATAACAATATAATGATCGACGTTGATGATGAAGAGTACCTTCGGCAAGCAGATAGGCTGATTGCGCTAATAAGCAGAAATCTCATAAACTGGGCACAGAAAGTGACTGATTTCAAAGGTAATCTACAAATTGATAACGTGGACGTATTGGCCATTGTCTGGTACCACTGTAACGCTTCTGTTTAATCACTTAGTTAATGAATTTAAGCCGCTGTTTACCGCATCGCTGAAGGCAGCTCAACGACCAGCAGAACATCACATCGAGACAAGTAAATATACAATGTCGGCCTGAGATTATATTTCCGCTTTTAAAATTATATTATCTTCTATTTACAGGAGAACCAGAGCTATCTGTGCTCGTTGTTTACCTTCGATTATCTGTATCGAAGGTATTTGATGGACTGCAAAAGTCGGGCGACGTTCCATCAGAAGCTTTAAATCAAGACCTAAGTATGTGTTTGCATTAGATCTCTACATCTAATGAGTGCATTGCTACTATTTTTCTCATATTCAACTCAACGTCATTTATTGTAGGTAATGTTGAAATGGCCATCTTAATACTCTGGCGCCATCTTAATTATTATTTATCGTCAAGAACAGCAACGCCATCAGGATCTTCGTTTCCCGTAACTCGGCCATCTTTAAGCTTGTACAATCGAAGAGATCCGGTAACAGAACAATTAAAAGCTGCTTCTCGGGACGTTTTGCTCTCGATGATGGATGATATGAATGAGCGATTCACAACAGAATTGGTGCGTATTGCTGTTTCAGATTTGGTCTTATCGCATTGCTCGTTGGCTGATAAAATGGTTCTAAAATTTTTATAGACGAATATCCTGTTCGAACCACGAAAGAGATATCTTCTGATGGTAATACGCAAGATCAAGACGCTTATAGCAAGAGAAAATTAATAATAAAGACATCGAATTATATAGTTAGATTAATTGGATGTTGAAAGTTGTAACATAATCTACATATACCTACATTAGACAGTCAAATAAACTATCCCTGATTCTAAATCGGGAGAACGGTGAAATTCAGTGTGTAACTCTCAATCGCACATTCCTTGAAAGAAAATCCCACATAAAAAACTCGTGGTTTGAAAAACAGTGTTCTAATACCAATTTAAATTATTAATTAAATTGATAGCGTTAAACGTATAGATAGCCACAGTGGCAGAGTCGCTTAAAAATATTAGTCAACCTTAATTGACAGTTGCAATAAGAAAACTTGTTTGCAATAAGCTGTGTTCAAACAAAAGAGTCATTGACTGGATTTCTAATGATATATAATTCAATTTTTGAAAATTTACACTTTTGGATTAGTATTCAATGAAACACCAAATCGTCTGAAATTTTATATTTATATATTTTAAAATACGGTGAATGTTTTCACTTAAGGATGCAATGGCACACATGAATAAACCATCACTGTCAAGTTCAAAGAGGAGCTTGAAATGCCCATTAAAGATTTTGGCAAACTGGAAGGGAGCAAGCTGGCACTTGTAAAAAACCTTAGTTTGTGGCGTAATTTGATACAAAAAACGCGACATAGTCGTAACCAATAGATAGGCGAGCTGAAAGGAAATAAATAGTAAAGGCGTTTATAAAAAATTTCCAAACCAGGCCGCATGAATGTTTTTGCCCTCCAATGTAATAGAAAACAACGGTGAAAGAATAAATTATTTAATTAAGAATTCCAAAAACTTTTGTTACATACTGTAAATCTACAAGTCAATTTATTTGACCATTATTATCTGTTGGAGATTTCAAACTGTGCCAACAGTTCGCTCTTCGGCTCTTCCGCTCCCAGCTCTAGCTACACTCTAAGTCCTCTCTCTACTCTATTGAAACTAATACAATTCCACTAGTTATATAAACTAATTTAATAGAATGGTAAGAGTCACATGATTCATTTTAAATCAAAATGTTACTACTTTCACCCGTTTAATATTGGCGCAATTGTTACAGCCATCTGTTCATCCGTCAGCTGCTTCTCTTCCTTCACGGTTTCTCTACCGCCGCACTTTCTTCAGTTTGGGGGCTTCTGGTATCAGGTCTCTGAAGGTTAGGTCTGGTCTGGATCTTTTCAGTAACAGGTCGGAATACATATTAGATCGCTCGGTTATTGAAGGAGAAGTTGTACATGATGGTATTAAGGTTAGCCTTTCCAAATAACAGTTTTGTATCTCTCTACTTTGTTTCCCAGCCCTTCAGTATTAAGATTGGCGTTGGTAAATACGTCGATCCATTACCGCGGCGGGAAAACTGTAATCATTTTGACGATGATTTTGTCCGTTCCCTCTGCTGTAGTTTGCTTGTTCTCAGATACCAGTAGACTTAGCGCGGCGATTAGAATGTTGAAGCATTACTACTTTGTTATACAGTCAAAGAAATCTGAGTATAGAGCGAGTTGTGACTCGTATGTAACTTCTAAGTGTATAATAAATGTAAATATAATAGTTAGTTTGGCTATTCATGATGCCGATTATTTATTTCACTGAAGACGAAAAGATACCTTTTGTTGGAAAGACGTCGATATAATAAACAACTTTCGTTATCACATTAAATCTATTCGGTGCGATATACGCTGATAATGGAGAAGCAGATTTGTGCGTTGTGTAGTCGTGCACCGCACGTCAGTAGAATGTTCGCTCTTGTGCGAACTCTTTCGTCGGTTGTGTGGTCGATAAACCGTGTTTTATTAATTGTTAATATTAAGAGTTCATTGGCGCTTTTTGGGCATGGTTATACATATATGTATGAGTAGACACGTGAATGACGTAAGATGACACATATTTAGTACTACTCGTACTACCGTCCTTATAAGTATAAATACAAGTGTGAGAGTTCATCGTGACACATAGAAAAATGAAAGTAATTGATTTTCGAGTAAAAATATTTTTCACTGGTTAATATTAATAAGTCCGATAAAGTCACGCGTATAATTTTAATTAAACCGATTTATATTACTATTACTATTCTCTAATCGTAATAGTCTATCGATAGACGCTAATCCTCGATAAATACGTCATTCCTCGAGTATATTACTATTATCAGGAGTTTCGATGTGAACAAATATTATCGCAATTGAGAGTAATCGCAAACAAGAGGCGAATACTCCTAAACAATATAACGGTTTCTCGGCTATCCTTAATTTACCAGAGAACGAATCATTAATAATGTATTTCAGAGTATAAAGAACTACTCGTTTATTATTAGGAAGGATATTAATTGAGGAGTTGTGTTCTTTTATTGTCTACACCTACGAGTGAACGCTAAAGGTATACCAGGAATATTAATTGAACATGATGCGAACATGATCAATTTTATCGGAAGGTTACGCTTCCTCCTAATCTAGCTACGTATACTCAGTGCCAATTTAACTCAAATACATCTAAAAGCGAATTATTGTACGATCGTTTTCTGGCGTGTAATGTTTGTGATACTTGGAGTTGTGCAGAAATTATACGTCATTATTAACATTAGTCCTCACAAGAGTGATGATATCGATAGCAAAAGAGCCCATGCAATACAATATCAATGTAGTATAACGAGTAGCACTAACAGCATAACAATACAAAAAATTTACACTCCCACACTATGCAATATTATGCACTACTATGTAGTACCACCACGACACATCTATTATCATCATGGAAATGTCATTTTAACAAGAATGATGTTTTTTGATGGTTCCTATTCTATTGAATAGATAGTTTGAACGTTACAAAAGTAAAAGTACATTCTCTATACTAATACTGGCATATTATGATAGTTACTGATGAGTAATTGAATAAAACAGTTGGCATATTATAAAATTTGCAATGGTTGTCAATAGAATACTGTGCATTAGGTGGTCCAAGCAAGTACCAAGACAAAGCTTAAAAGCGGTTGGGCAGGCGAAAAGCACAGGTCTTCAAATGCATATGGCAAATTGCTTGCTTCAGTAACAATCTGCCATTAATGCGACGGTTTGGTGTGAACGCACGTGAGATACAAACCAACGAATTTTCCCTAGTTATATTATTTATTTATATTATTATTAGTTTTACTTACAACATATTAACTCTATTATTCAGTCTCTCTTTTTTTGTAGAGCGCAATATAAGCTTATTGTTCTGCCTATAACATTTGCGTTCTTTATATTCCCTGATAAGGATACTTAGCGTCGTTGGCGAAGTGTAAAACGCTTTCCCCGTCATCGGCGAATGGGTATTGATATTGCCAATCAATTCTATTTAGTACTTTTGCATTCAGGATTATTGTTTAATTATAGTGGGAGCTGATGGCTGAAGCTGAAACTAACCAATGGGGTTGGAGAATAAAATCTGATCAACCAATGAAAGGTCATGGTTTCAGCCGAACCGATAGGCTTTGAGATTAACGAAGTGATTACTCGAGGTTAGTCGAAGGTCACTAATTGTCATTAGTATTTAGTTTGAAGTAGGAAGAGCAAAAGCTTCCGTCGGAAAAGGATTAAATCCCAAACGGCTAGTACACCTAGTCCGACACACTTGTAGATAAAATACATTGATTAATTTGATTTGTTTGATTATTCGTTTTATTCGTCATAGTGAATCTTATATGGGGCATGCTGATGCAACAAAGTCTATGTGAGTTAAAAATTGCTATTGTGGCTGATTTTTTTAGCTTTGATTTAGTTGATAATTCAATTTTCGTAAACATAATTTTATTACTTTGTTATAAAATGCAAAATATAATAATAAATAATAAAAGTGCATGGGATTACATTGTGAAAAGGTCTAGAAAGTTCCTAAGAATACGTCATTGATTTTGGTGTCGGTATGTTAGATCTCACCGCGCAGCACATCTTTCGGACTCTTTGTGAACGCGATGGGCTATTCCTGAGGGTTCTTCTCGGCATCGCTTCATGATGGGCTTGTGTGATTAACTATTATACTAGTCGTAATTGTATTAGCCGTTACGTATACGAGTCGTCACGATAACCACATGTCTAGACGAATATTCCC